CTTTTCGTGCGACAAAGTCCAGCCCGAGAATTGTTAAAAAAGGGGTGTATTTGACTTTTCACCCGGAGATTTCTTTAAAAAGGGGGTGTTTTTTCTTTTTTTCTCTCATCTCTTTGGACTCCTGAGAAATTATTCCGAATTTAGGGGGTACATTGAGCATTTTTCATGATTTAGGGGGGTCTCCAAGGCAGGAAAAGCCCGCGAAAAGCCCGCGAAAAGCCCGCGAAAGGGGGGTTCGGAAATGTTGGCAGTCCTCAGATAGGGGGTGCTTTCAAAAAGAGGGAACGAGCATATGCGTACCCTAAATAACACTGAGTGGGGGGGCCGGGACATCAATGCCCCCATTTAAGCATACTTTGAATCTGGTCACGCTTCGAAAAGTTCGTGGCCTAGCATTTTGCTTCTGTTGATGATCAAATAGAGAAAGCACTATTTATAGATCAGGGAGAGTGTGAACAAAGCACGAAATAGGAGCAGTGCAATTTAAATATCCAGGGATGGATTAGAGTTTATTTCTAAAATGAAATGAAAGGGCTATTTTATTTTCATGAGTCCTTTCACTTCATTGAAGAAATAACCTCTCTTTATATCTTAGAGACACTTTCTCTTGAAAGTCAAATAAACTCGAAAGCATCCTGGGGCTCCGCCCTGGAACCCCTGGTAGGGGCTCTTCCAGGCCCCTAAAGCTGTGCCATATTGTACGGATCCATTAGAAAGCAAAATAAGCCCAATGAATAATTTGTATATATATATATATAGTTCTCCTATACAAGCTTCCTCTGTGAAATGCATACTAAATTCCTTTTTCGAGGGTTGGCAATGAAAATAGATAAACAGTAGAAACAGACCATGAATAAAGAAATAAACAGCTTGTTCGATTTGTTTTGACGCATTATCTTTAAAAACCCGGACAGCTTTATCTTTATTATCCTTAAAAAATAACTTCTATAATCATTCTGAGATGGAATAAAATACCAAAACGAATTGCATTTTGCAACGTCTAGACATAAAGGTTAAATCTCAACTTTATTTTTCTTATTCTTCTTTTAAATTTCGAAGCGTTGCATGGGATCTTAATCCTGTTTTTTTTCTACATACATTAATGCCCCCATTTAAGCATACTTGGAATCTGGTCACGCTTCGAAAAGTTCGTGGCCTAGCCTTTCGCTTCTGTTGATGATCAAATAAAGAAAGCAGTCTTTATAGATCAGGGAGAGTGTGAAAAGGCACACAGTAGGAGTAGTGCAGTTTAAATATCAAAGGATGGATTAGAGTTTATTTCTAAAATGAAATGAAACTAAAAGGGCTATTTTATCTTCAAGAGTCCTTTCACTTCATTTAAGAAGTAATCACTCTGAGATGGAATTAAAATACCAAAACGAATTGCATTATGCAACGTCTAGACATAAAGGTGAAATCTCAACTTTATTTTTTTTATTCTTCTTTTAAATTTCGAAGCGTTGCATGGGATCTTAATCCTGTTTTTTCTACATACATCAATGCCCCCATTTAAGCATACTTATAATCTGGTCACGCTTCGAAAAGTTCGTGGCCTAGCATTTTGCTTCTGTTGATGATCAAATAGAGAAAACACCCTTTATAGAACAGGGAGAGTGTGAACAAAGCACGAAGTAGGAGCAGTGCAATTTAAATATCAAGGGATGGATAAGAGTTTATTTCTAAAATGAAATGAAAGGGCTATTTTATTTTCAAGAGTCCTTTAACTTCATTGAAGAAATAATCTCTCTTTATATCTTAGAAACACTTGCTCTTTAAAGTCAAATTAACTCGAGAGCATCCTGGGGCTCCGCCCCGGAACCCCCGGTGGGGGATCTCCCAGGCCCCTAAAGCTGTGCCATATTGTACGGATCTAAACTCATAGCGATTCATCCAAATAAGAAATCCAAGTAGGCATTTTGAAAGTTGTAAGAAAATTCTTTCAAATTCCAGGATATTGGGTGTTCTTTTTCAGGAAACTCTATTTAAACGAGTGGAAGCACTGGCGGTTCTGATTTTTTAAATTGTAACAATTCTCCTTGGATCAGATATAGACCAAAAACAAGCCTCATTATCTTCAGTATACAAGTGTCATTTCGGACCTTACAGCTTTCATAGAAATCGCTTCTGGACCGTCAAAGAAAAAGTTTGAGAACCCCTGGTCTACGCATTATACACATCAGGACCAACTTGACAACTTGACAAAAATTTGAGGGGGGTTCGACCCCCCCCCCCTGCGTACGCGCCTGCATGTGCATCCCTTCCTCCTTATTCCCTTATCCATCGTTACGGTCACTACCATTTGAGTAGGGCCGGCCCCCTCCTTAATAACGACTCAAAAGCCATCAAGAATGACCCCATAATTTATAGATTACCATTCTGCCGTTCTTTGGAGGGGCCGGGTGCGGCCTTTTCAGAAGTGTTTCAACACTAACCTTTTCATGCACTCCGGCTTAACATAAACAAGCATGCTAAGATTGTTTTGAAAAGAAGCATAATTTCGACTCAGTTTCGCATAATCTAAAAATAAGAATACGGCCAGTCACCCCTCCCCCCCCCCTCCCCTCAATGCATCCGCCTTCACGCACCCCCCCCTTCCCCTTGTCTTTCCCTTATTCGTCGTTACTGTCACTAATTGTTAGTGCCATTTCGTTGTCTTTCTTTCTCCCCGGCTCCTCTCTTCTTTTTCTTTCCTCTTTTTTGAACTCTCTCTCTTTTCTTTACTTTTTTGTTCTCTTTTCTTTTATCTTCTCCTTTTTCCCCCTTTTTTTTCCTTCTTTTTTTCTTTCTCTTTTTTCCTTCTCAATTTTTTTTGCTTCGCCAATAGGGGGGGGGGGCCGCGGCCGTTTCGGCCCACCCCTGGATCCGCCACTGCACTTCTGAAAGATACTCTTCCTTCCAACCTCCACTTTCTCGCCTTTCTATTTTCACTTCTATTTTCTATCCACTTTCCTTAGTCCTTCTAGGACTTTACACATGGTGTACCGTAAACCTCTACCGTGATTATATAATAGTTAATACATTATATGAAATATAACGACATATACTATACATTCATACTATAATTAGCGTGATTACGTAACGTTAGCAGTTGGAGTACAGATAATCGGTATATAATTAAAATGATGATTCTGGGTGCTATGTCATGTTAATCACGATCCTGTTGGTATATAGCCTACGTACGATGGCAAGCACTTAAATATAGTCATGTAGTAGTAGAATCCATTATTCTTCCAATGTTGATAACAAATATACACAGCGTACCTGGTAAAGGAGTTATTAATTATTCATCGTCACAATTATACCGCAAGGCCATAATAATGAAAAAAATAACGCTTTCAAGAAACCCATACAGTTGATATACGTGTGTAAAAGGACAGATCTGTATCCCCCCTTTCGTTTTTTAAAATAATTATTGCGTTATATTAAATTTACTCCTTGTGTGGTGTGGTGGGGTGGGGTGGGGCGATTCTTATTTGACATGTAACAAGATGTTATTGTATTATTTCTCTACTTTTTTGTAGGCTTTTCGACTGTGCGATGATTTACACAATCAATTGGTATCTGCTCCTTTCATTCTAATAGATATGGAAAAAGAGATCGACAACAAATTCCATTTTCTTTTCTCTAGAAGTTCAATCGTTTCCAAACCAAATTGTTATAGCTTTGTTTTCTCTCATACATTTGGTTGGTTGTTTTTACCTGACTGTTAAGAAAACATGTGAATGTCTGTAAGTAAGCAGTCAGGAGACTGACGGCTTTAAGTCTTCTCTGAGGGAATGATAACGAGGATTAATGCTTTACCAAAGTGCACTAGGGCATCGACTTGGTTTCGAACCTGGGACCTCCCGGTCACGAGACCACTGCTCTACCACTGAAGCATCGCCTCTCTCTTATACAAAATGTGTAGATTTTCGGGCATGTTCTATGTATTTGTTTTTACCCCTCTAAAAAAATTTCGATTAAAGTTGTGGAGTAGGCCTATACTTGTTAGGTATACAAGTAAAAATGACAACTGTATGAGCCGTTCGTAAATGGACCCTAACTGAACGCTGAAGGGAAATAAATTGAAATTACCTAAACCTCTCTGTGTTGTAAGGGCCATGAAGTACCCAACGTATGAGCTCTGTATATGCTAGATGGCCGCCATTAGCTGGGCGTTTCCTACGCATTCACTCAGTGTTGCTATGGAAACGGACGTCGGTGAATTTGTTTGTTCTAATGCAGTTTCACTGAGTGCGACCATGCAACAAACCATCTCCGCGTGTCTGCCTATAATGTATAGGCTGCTGCATTAATATGATTAATTCTGTGTATATTTATTGCATAGTCTTGTTTCTGACGGTGTGGGCAAAAGGGGGAGGGGGAGGGGATGTTGGGGAGGGGGGGGGGGGGGGGTCTCCAAGGTTGACATTTCCGTATCCGAACTGCTTAGTATCCATAACATAATCATGAATGATTTGGAATAGTTTTGTATTAAAGCATGGTTGCGAAATCCTATTCTGAGACTCAGTGTACATGTGTACATAGTGACATAAAAATACATCGCCATGAAACCGAAATAAAAAGTGGGAGAAAGACTACGGAAGTAAGGGAAAATTACAGACATGATGCATGTATGATGCATGGCAGGCAAAATGTAACTAGGTCAATGCATATCATTAAAGGTGGCAGAAAATGGATATAATGGAAGAAAAGGGATGCAATTATACTCAGAAATGATGGGATGGAGAGACGAGACGAGAGAGAATAAAGGGATTGTGCAGAGGGTGATGTCGTTATGTACATGTATCTCACTATAAGCCGCTTCAGGCATTATTAAACCGTATATATAATTTAGCACAAAGATCTACATGACTGTAATAGGCTTACGGTTGCACCACGTGAGAGAGGGGGGGGGGGGATTGGGAAGTCCTGAAAAGGACTCTCGGTAATCTTTCTTTCTTGAGTGTGTGTTTCTGTTGGTGTAGTCTTGAGAAAGACTGTTGGTTATCTTTCATAGCTAAGGAGAACTATAGCGCCGGTTGGAGAGGATAGATGACTGTTATGTTCTCTCGATTTGGTGTATCGAAGAAGCATTCGTTTCAAGCGTGATCATTTCGTAAGGTTACATTTCATTCATTTGCATATAAACGTCGTGGACTATGGCGTATTTCATATTGGACATGGTGCCATTCGTAAAATTCGCTTGCAGAAAGCAGGAATAGGTCATCGGTGTTTCACAAGCGAATCGGGAATCGATAGACGGGCTGGGCTTGTTTAGTGCTAGCAAATAGGCAAGAGTCGAAGCAATCATTATTTTGCTTCCATTACCTACGTTGGTTAATGATACCCGATCGGACAAAAATGAATCATGTCTGCCGTTCTGACTTGAATGATTGGCAGGATAAAATAATGAATAAATATACGGACTGACACAAACATGCGTGCTATACTACATCAGGCATTTGTGAATTTACCTCTGGAAACTGTTTGAACACGGAAGTCTATGTGCATCGTACCGGGTGGTGATAGCTAGACTTCATTTTCGTAATTTTTTTTTTAGATGATCGAGGAAAATCCTCATTTTCTCCAGCTTTAAATGACATCTTGTGACACTTCACAAATTACAGGTAGGAACATTTAATATGTATATTCTATCTTTAAAAAATAATGTTTATACTTAATCAACCGTACAAGACCTCCATAATTTGGTTGTTCAGAAGATTCCAGTGTTTTGATGATGATGATGATGATGGTGATGATGATGGTATAAGATGATGATAATAACACGATGTTGATAATAATGATAATAATGATGATAACATTAATGGGTCAAGCTCGCTATGCATAAGGACCGCTATCTATAACACGTGACAAAATGAATAGCACTCCTTTATGAATAGCGGCCCTTATAAATAGCGAGCAAACCATATACAATACGCCATTTTCGTAGTGTAACCAAATTTAATTTAAGGGGGTGGGGGCGACGAGCCTGGACCCCCACTGGTAAAAAAAGGAGAATTTTCTCAAGAATTAGGCCCCCCCCCAAAAAAAAAAAAATAGTGCTCGTTGATCCTGATATTCTTTTGAACGAGCTATCTATGATTGGTGTATCATCTGATTGTTTATCATGGTTTGCTAGTTACTTAAAGGGATCGTTTAACAATGTTAAATCTGAGATACACGGCCCTACGTGTTATCAGTGTCTGTGATATGGTGTAATATTGAAGCCCTAAAAAAATTGCGCTTCAAAATAATCAAGAAGTGCCTCAAAAAAGTAAAAATCTTTGAGTGACCAGTTTTACCATACTCGTTTTCCCCAGTAGACTGTAGTGTTATGAAAACCGTCAGGCGAACGGTTTTCAAAATTTATAATTTCAATCTTAAATATGTTGATAATCAGACAGGCGATCGGCTTGTAAAAGTCATGGGGTTCCTGACTGACCTAAAGGTTTATAATTATCATTATGAGCTAAATCCAGAATTTTGAGAATCTGAGACAAAGTTACCTGATCCCTTTAAAAGGTCGTCGTGTATAATGTACTTTTTTTCTTTTTTTTTACTCATCTACACCATCAGAGTCGAATATAGATTTCGGGGTTCCCCAAGGATCTATATTGTGTCCGCTTATGTTTATAATTTATATTGATGATATTTTAAATCATATAGAAAAATGCTCTGTTCATTTATTTGCTGATGACACATTCATTTATTTCTCACACAGAAACGTCCATACTATAGTCTTTGTTAAATTCTGAACTTAATAGAATATTTACTTGGTTGTATATCTCCAAATTGAGCCTCAATCGTGAGAAAACAGTAAGCATGTTATTTGGCTCACCCAGAATGTTTACTAAATGTAGTAAGCTGAACTTGAATGTAAATGGGATAAATATACGACATGTACAATCTACGAAGTATCTTGGTATGTTGTTAGATCCTAGTTTAAAGTGGAATTTGCATATTGATGACATGTGTTCAAGGTAAGTAATCTCATACGCTTGTTGGCTCGATGGCGAACTATCAAATATGAAATGTATGTAATGCCATTATTCTCCCTATTTTTGACTATGGTGATATAATACATGGAACATGCAGCCTGTGCTAAATATGTCAACTCTGTACAGAAACTTCGAAACAGGGCATGTCGAATAGACCAGTTCGTAGTTAGCACATGGGTCATATGACCCTAAATATCACATATCTTTTAAACATAGATAAATCCAACTTTGTGCCTTTTGGAATAATCACAGCTAAAGTCATGGAGGTGATTCTTTGTTTGCCCTCTGGAAAAGATTACTTCCACCTATGTTCAATAGAATGCAACACAGGTGCATGCATGAATAATTATTACATAACTTGTGTGAGCATGTATCTAGTATTAGTCTCGGTGGGTATTACAATTTTGTTCAAGTGACCTTTATCTGCGCGTGCGCAGATCAATCCGCGCATGCTCAGATTGTATCTACGAACTGGTATATTATACTTGGAATAAGTCCTTACAGTCATGTGTCAACGTTGATCCTCCCACACTTAAACTACGGATTATAGCTTGGGGCAATTGTGCTGACTATCTTTTAAATATAATTTTATTACTCCAGAAAAAAGCGCTGCGTGTTATATGTCACTCTGATTTTCGAGCGCAAACGGATGCACCTTTTTTCACACACATAGTCCCATAGTATCCTAAAATAACAGACTTATAGTTATAATCTTGGAATATTCCTGTGTAATTTAAATAGAAATGAACTGCCAAACTTTTTTTATTCGATGTTTACAAAGAATGTCAATATTCATCATTATCCTACTCGGTCTGCCGAACTTTTTCATATACCAAAAACAAGAACTTTGCTCTCAAATAATTTTTTTTGTGTTTTCAGGCTCAAAACTTTTGAACTCTCTTTCAGATCCGGTTAAAAATAAACCCACATATTATAGTTTTAGTAGAGGGTTCAAAAAGAATCTAATACAAAAATACATGTCTCCTACAGGTTAAACTTCTCACAGCTCCCCTGTTTTACTCTCCTTCTCTCTCTCTCTCTCTCTCTCTCTCTCTCCTCTCTCTCTCCCTCTCTCTCTCTCTCTCTTTCTAACTTCTGTTGTGTGCAGCTTTATTTTTGTTTTTGTTTTGTCATGTCTTGTCTTATCCTATTATGTCAGTTTCCTGTCCTTTGTGTCCCGTTTTTTCATTCTTTTCTTTTTGTATATTTTGATTATTTAGATACTTTAAAATGGTTTATGAAAATATGTTATTATATTATATCTATTTTACTGTAATTATTACGACTTTTTAAAATGATTTATGAAAAATAATGTTCATATTATGTTTATTCTTGGGAACATACAAAAACAAGCTATGCTTTCCAGCAGGTTCCTATTTCAAGTTATAATGTTGATCTTACTTTGTCAACTATGTTCTTTATTGTGCAAACAATTGTTATATGAAATAAAATTTAAACAATCAATCAATCAATCAATCAATCAATCAGGGAATTACATGCTCGCTTAGGCTGGAAATCTTTAACAATTAGACGTTACTGTCATCTGAATTCATTCATTTCATTTCATTTATTTCATTCTCCATAAAAAAAATATTGAAACATACAAACATGGTATACAGATAACAGATCGATTACAAGAAAAATACAAAGGGAAGGAGCAAACAAAATTTTATGGGAATGTGGGGTTAACAAAAAGGCCAATTAGCCTTATGAACGTCAACCTACTATGGTTGATAAGGCTTTAAATGACCTTGCTCCTCCGTATTTAAAAGTCTGCTTCTAATATTGTCAATACAACTATTCGCTTAGGTCTCATGGAAACTTATTGTTGGCAAAACCCAGAACAGAATATTGTAAACGTACGTTCTCTTACAAAGGTGCTATTCACTTCAATAATCTCCCCACAAATCTAAAACTCCCATGTAGTTTAAAAAGACAAATTGCCTTCGTACCCGATCTCATGTAAACTGTTAATTGGATTTAAGTTATATTTATATTTTTTTTTTCTCTTTAGGATATAATTTTTTTTTTTTTTTTTTTTTAGTCACGTGTTCCTCATTACACAATATATATTTAATATTATAACAATCATCTTGGACCCCATGGAAGAACAGTCTCGTCTATATGGCTTGACTGTGCTGGGTGTCCTTCCGACTTCATTATTGTCATCTTCTTTTCTCTTTTACATTGTATATTATGTTTGTTCTTAATGTCTAGACCTATTTATATTATGTTGTAAATGTTCTGTATAATATATCATGTTTTTTTTTGTGAATTCGGAGAATGAATGAATCAAATAAATCAACCCCCCCCCCTCCGCTTATGCACCGACTGGCTAGGTCGCCGCTAAATATTTCCTAATTTTGTTAGACCCCCTCAAAAAAGTGCTCTTACCCCCCCCCCCCTCCCCCTCCCCCTCCTCTTTTTTTATCTTGTCCTGTTATGAATTGTTTTGTCATGTCTTGTCTTATCCTATTATGTCAGTTTCCTGTCCTTTGTGTCCCGTTTTTTCATTCTTTTCTTTTTGTATATTTTGATTATTTAGATACTTTAAAATGGTTTATGAAAATATGTTATTATATTATATCTATTTACAGTAATTATTAAGACAATTTAAAATGATTTATGAAAATAATGTTCATATTAGTTTATTCTTGGGAACCTACAAAAACAAGCTATGCTTTCCAGTAGGTTCCTGTTTCATTTCATAATTTTGATCTTACTTTGTCAACTATGTTCTTTATTGTGCAAACAATTGTTATATGAAATGAAATAAAATCAATCAATCAATCATAATTATAAAGCATTTTTCAATCCTGTATCCGCCTTAGTAATATTGCATTGTATGGTTTGTTACAATAGGCATATTGCAAACAAGTAACAATGAGGAGGGATTTTCCCAACCAGAATGTAATGATGGATCACCCATCATATTTCGTCTTTGGTTTGTCCATATTTTCTTATCGAATTCCGAATCTGGTAATATTGAAAATGAAGCTGCAGAGCTACTATTCTATTAAACCGCAATCTGAGAACACTGAACTGGAAAGCATAATTTCCACTTCAGCGATAGAAAACGATGGGTTGCTAAGGAAACCGGCATGAAGTGGATTCCACTTACTGAATTGTGGAAATAGTCACTGCTTCTAATGTTATGCAATGCATTATATATTTAGCATTTAGCATTTTAATAAGGCAATGTATAATGAAGTGAACTGAATATCGGTTGGCTTCCCAGACGCTCGATTGAAATCTATATGGTAAAAACATGAACCACTTTGCGACATTGTAATTTGGTATGAGCAGGTAAATACATTGTGTAGTCATTTCAGTCATGAGCAATATATGACAAAAGACATGTTTTTTAAAGAAAAACATAAATGAACTTTGGCTGATTTGCTAAATGTTAAAATTTGATGCGATAAGAGTTAGTTGTGGAAGCGTGGAATTATTCCTTGAAAATAAAACGATCCAATTTCAGCATAATTTATGCAGGCGATTCAATCAAAAGATGGGGCTTTTTGAGACAGTGATAGCAAATGGGTGTTGGGGTATTGTCCCTCTCTTATAGTCAGCCCATTCTCCATGAGAAAAAAAAATCATCCCTCATTCTATATTGAGAGAAAGGAAAAGAAAAGGCGAAGAAATGGAAGAAGAAGAAGAAGAAGAAGAAGAAGAAGAAGAAGAAGAAGAAGAAGAAGAAGAAGAAAAAGTAGAAGAAAAAGAAAAAGAAGATGATGAAGAAGAAGAAGAAGAAGATGAAGAAGAAGAAAAAGAAGAAGAAGAAGAAGAAGAAGAAAGAAGAAAAAGAAAAAGAAGATGAAGGAAAAGAAAAAGGAGATGGAGAAGAAAAAACTTGAAAGAGAAAATGGGTGGGGTTAGATCTTACAAAAAGGTCTTTCGCTTCAAGACATTTCGATTCTCACAATTTTTATTTCCATCCATTGTAATAACATAATCTTACATTAGCAGCCACACCCGTTTTCGTTATGGTCGGTTACCATATTGCTGCCTATGATGGTTCTTGTTCAATTTGACACCACACTGCATTTCTTTTTAGTACGACACAGAATGTTTATTTGAGCGTTATATTAATATACGATCGATATCACACCGTAACCGTCGATGGCAATATAAATGAATGTATCCATCAGCGACGGACAGTGTCTCGCTTGGGCCTCTCCCGCCTACCAAAGTATTTGAGTGGAGCATAATATGAAGCGTACAAATACCAGTTCCGCCAGTTGTCACGCAGACAACCTGTTGTCTTGCGAACGACTCGTACTCCAAATAACAGTTTTCCGTTTAATATGACTTAGGATATGAACGTTGTTCCTCGATACCGGCAGAAACGGATAATTTCTTGAAGACATATACGAAGGATAAAATAGGTATTTTGTGTGGAACCACTATTACGGTAAATATTTCATCATATCTTAAAGAAATAATATTGTATTGTAGACATTGTATTATTAATTCATTCATTTATTACCACTATAGGTTGGAATACATAAGACCAGGTATAGCGCACCAAAAATAAATACAACAAACACATGTTATTTGATGATTGCAAATGATCAAGCTTTATGAAAGCTTAAAAAAACAAAAAACAGAATTGAAATCGGTCAATGCGTTGTGATTTTATACCATTTTTTTGATATCGCAAAATTACCGAAAAACCTGCCAGAAATGGTCAAATTGGCAAAAATGGCAAAATTCGACAAAGTTGACAACTTAAGTCATCACTTTCTCGGACACAAATAATAGATTAAATTATCAGACACTAAAATATCATCAAAAGATAATTCATATATCTATTACCGTTTTGAAAACAGAAGCCAACAAAATAAGTAATTTTTGCCATTTTTGCGAATCTGCAGATAAATTATGAAAAAGTTGTGAAAATAACTAAGTCCGTCTAATTAATATGCGCATATGTAATTAAATCAAAACCGAATATGATACATCAGTGAAACCTATGTATATCAGACAGGTATGGAAATATATTTTATTTGAAGAAGAAAAAATCATGAATATTCATCAAATATGCAATTTAGGTCATTTCAGCTAATTATATATATATAGGAAAGTCAAACTGTTCATTTTGTTGGCATTTTTTAAATCATATATTTATAGATCATATTTACACCAAATATTTACATTAAAATACAAATATTTTTGCAATGCCAATAAAATATGGCGATGGAAATTACTTGGATCACCGTCACAGCTATTTCCTTATATGTTTCACAAATTGTTTAGAAAAACCGATCAAATGATAAGAATTTGCAGACTTTCAGCTACATCACATTATATTTTTCTTTTTTAAAAATTTCAGATTTGAGGATTTGTGACGATTTTCCGAGAAGCCATTCAACAGGCAATAACATTCCACAGGGACTAAATTTTAGAGTGAAAAAAAGTTTGGTGACCCCAGTACAGTTGTGGCTACCTTGAGTGTAAACAACAAATTGATTCAATGAGTGAAACATATGAGCATATTGCATTTTTTGTAGGAGAGTTTTATACATTGAGGTACATTTTCACCACGCAGAATACTAGCAGCGCGAGTCAATGGGCGATCAGCGGGCCATGTCACACATGGCTGAAAAGACAATATTCTAATTAAATAATCAACATATTTCCCACATGCCTATAACAATGAAACTACACAGAATTGTAATTAAAGGTATGCTTGAAATATATGTGAAATGAAAATTAAAAAATATTGTTTCGGGTTTTTTTAAAATAAATTTACAAAAATTGCTATTTCTACCAACTGACTGCTGTTGTGTGTGTGTTCGCGGGGCAGACTGTGTGTTCAGGCAGTGTGATCACCCTAATAAGACGGTTTATAAAAGAAGATGAAGAAAGTCCCGGGAAAAAATGTATCGAAAAATATTGGCTCACTAATGAAAATGGTTAATAAACGTATTACATTTTAGATTAAAATTTGGCTTGAAAGGAACTCTCTAAATGTGGGAAAATGCTACAATTTTTTTTCTTCTTCGTACTATGATTATGTTTACGAAATGATTTAAACGGTCTGCTTCCTTCCTTTATTGAGTCTACATATTGATGATTATATATATATATATATATATATATACATTGAATTATATAATACAAATACGTATGGGCTTCGCAACCTTATATTCAGCGATTCAATTTAAGAATATGAAAAAGATAAGATTCGAATATGTGTTTACTGTGCAGTCAATGTTACAACAAAACTGATTTTTGATTTTGTTTCTTAGATTACATAAAATACCCCTCTTTGCATGTTTAATAGTAGGAAATCTAAGTATTACTATTTCATGTATACATTTTCTAATTTAAAAAAAAAAGAAGACCTATAATGTTGCAAATGAAATCAATTTGCAAAGTTTCCTCAAATGTTCGAGATTATATGAATGAAAGATTCGTCATTATGTAAGGCACTAATAATTGATAGGGATACATTTATGCGTATATAGGCGATATTGTCTAGCGTCCCGTAATATACAGGTGGACAATAATTGGTCTAGCTTTCGTATTGGGGCGGGGGTCTAGTGGTCTATAATCTTTTAGCAAAGATTCTCCTAATTATTCATATCATTAGTCAAATGACAGCAGCGGTTTGAAATTTACTGCATTCCTTTATTATCAATAATGTCACCAATGTTGTTCCACAAGGCATGTCGTACATGCAGGGTATATCCCATATGTTACCATTATTGTAATTATTGCTCTAGCCCAATTCAAACATCGACTTCACTTAAAATATCAATTGTATACCACTGGTAAAGCCATGAAGTACGAGGGTATACTACAGAGATAGGGACTCCTTGCCATATTTTCATCAAAGAAAAACTATGTAGCTTCAGGGTTAGGGTTCTGAGTGAGTTTTACGTTAGGTAATATGGATATATAGGTATAGTATTTAGTGTCTGTCCAGCATTGCAGTTGGGAATTCAGTTGGTATAGTGTCAGATATCGACTGTGGATGGGGCAGTTGACTGTTGAGGAATTTCCGTCAGAGCATGATTGTGCCCTACTTTTTCCGCTAAAGGGCTTGGGGTCTCGCAGTCTATGTACTGTGGATTATGAGTGCAATGAGGTTACCCATGGCACATGGCACATGGCACATGGCACATGTAGCAAACAATGCCTAATCGGTGACCATTGGTACCCTTTTTCTTATGTTAATTGAGAACTGATTTGATGATATAACCATCTGTCAGTGACCATGCAAAGAGGTCTCATCAGTTTTATTATACTAACACAGCTGAATTGGTTATCCAGCCATTCACTATACCATTGATTTTACTATGTACATGCATTTTCATTGTATTGTTTTTAATATTGTGATATGGAAAATGAATAACAATACCAATCCCTCCTGGCCAAGCTAGTGCAGATATGCTTTAAGACAGTTGTCATTATCATATTTGCAAGTTTCCAACATCTGTTTTTTTCTTTGCAACTATTTTCCAATTCTCAATTTTCTATCATGTCAAATCAAAGAGACACAATAGGGCTATGTGCTTGATTGAAAAGAATTTCGGATATGTTTCGTATATCACCTTGAAGATATTTTGGGATATTTTTTTTTAGTTCACATCATCAGCGTTAAGTCTGTGTTTTCTAGAGTATAGACTATTTATGATGTGGATATTTGTTAATATAATAATAACAATAATCATGATGAGAATGATGATAATGATGGTAATGATGATGATGATGATTTTGATGGTGATGGTGATGCATGGTGATAAATATGATTATGATAATGGTACTTTTGTTATTACTACTTCTACTACTACTACTACTACTACTTCTACTACTACTACTAGTCTAGTACTACTGACACTACTACTAATGATAATAATAAAAACGACAACAATGACACCAACAAAGGATAATTATTACAATAATACAAATTATAATATCAAAGACGAAGAAAAGGGAGAAGGAAATGAAAAGTCTCCAATACTATGCCTAAGGCTACGTTTGTAGGCGCCATAATGTTGTTGACTTTGCTTTACATCTATAATGCAATGTAATGACCTTGTACCCGATATGAGAGAGCTCGGACAACAACAACATATTACTTTTGTAAATAGATAAGCTATGGACAATGATGTAGGATTTCAGACATGATAGTAGTCCATGCAACTAACAAGGTCTTAAAAAAAAAAAATCAGTACATGCATTTTATTATGTTACCCCAAAAACTGTAAAATATGTTTTACTTTATGATCCCTGATGCGAATGATTTCGTAGATAGACGATGTTTACAGAAGAGGTTCAATCTTTTTCTTCCTTTTCCGAAGGTCCTGCGGGCGTCACTTATACCGAAGAGAGACCACCCCCGGGTCTCGTCATGAAAGTTAGCCCTTCAACCGATGATAACGCGGTCCATCCGAATGATTCCCCCGTCGATGTCCGTAACGATCACCGACCTGAGAACGATGTCCCGCATGATGGCGAAAGAATCGACGGAGAGGAACCTGGTGGGAATTTCCGCAACATTGGAAAGAGGTTTGTTGATTTATAACAGCAAAAACAGTACAGAGAAACCGGTTTTACTTCAAGAGTTATTGAATCAAAATTCGTTAGAGGACCACTGTCTCTTTCATTACACATTCTATCACTGACGTTTTTGCGTTAATTATATAACGTGTTTGAGTTTATATCGTGGCAGACCTAGTGGAAGCAACCGCTGTTCCCATAACTCATGAATAAATGTGTCACAACCACACTCATATACAAACTTTTTAATCAAGATAGATTGAAACCATTGAATTCCAGCAATTCTGCTAAAGGATAATTCTAAAGGTTCGGGTATTAAGGGTTATCTTCCCCTTTGAATTAACTGGAAATGGGCCTCTAACTACACACATACCATAAATAGGGCCTGACGGTGTAACGTTTTTATTAGAGTAAATGACTTTGTAAACAGTACATTCGTCCGAAAAGACTCTTTTTTTTCACTCGTTCCTTCAAATCGCCAACATGGGAGCGTTTTATCCTGTAGGAAAAAAATAGCTGAGAGTTTTACTTTTTGTCGAAATTTATAGATGTAGTGATTAATAACGATTTCAAAACATAGAATACCAAAACATTGCTTGGTATTAGGGATGAATTCTAGGTTTTATGGTATCTTAAAGTATGTCATAAAAATTCAACTAGTTCTTTATGTCAATGTCTTTCCCCGACACCTAAAGAGAGAGAGAAAGAAAGAGAGAGAGAGAGGGAGAGGGAGAGAGAGAGAGAGAGAGAGAAAGAAAGAAATGACCAATGACAAGATTCGTTGCTAAAAATACAATCAAAAAGTTAGCCATATCATAGACAGCGTTGCGATTAATCGCAATTTGGGGCGATTGGTATCAATTGCAGCTAATAAGATATAGGATACTGTAAATTTGCTATTGATTAGAGGACTTGTGATTGGTTTGGATCAATCGCAACTCTTACAAGACAGGACCATGGATTCGAACATTCCTGTTGGTAGTACACAAAAGTGTCATCTCCCACACGACAATGCAGCTATTATGTTTCGTAGCATCTGAACCAATATGATTATATGCAACCAGAATTGCAAAAAAAAACTTTCCCATAGGAACACTGACGTACATCAATCAGGGAAAGGAGATCAAATATTAATTATGGAACGTGATTAGCTGATTAAAAACCTTTAAGTTTATTAATAAAAATGGTTCGCGACAAACGGGGGTAACCATTAGTATGATTACCACTTAAATGTGATCAGCGTGTTTCTATAGTAATACTGTACTGTGCGTCCAAGAAATAACGAAACCGAAAATTGTCGATGTTTTATCAAAACTTAATCACAATTATAGTTAATAAATGACACATATTTTAAAAGCTTAGATCTTCCTCTTTCATTTGATGCAACTCGTATGATGCATATTTCACGCATAAGTGATTAAAATCAATTTGAAGAGAGGGAACAAAGAAGTCATTTGGCGGACGGTATTTGAATTTCAAAGAGAAAATTATATTTGTTGTCAATTCCGGTTGATGCTATGGCAGCCAGCCAGTGAAAACAAATTCGTTTAATAAAATTATGGAAATGCAAACCTTACTTTAAACAAACAGAATTTTGTTATTCCTCACTCATTTTTCCTGATTGAGGTGCAGGCGCGGATCCAGGATTTATTAGGGGGGGAGGCCCAAATATGAAATTATGCGAGCCAAATATTGGTACGTAATGGCAACCAGCAGTAACGTAATTAGGGGTAGGTGGGTGCAGGGAGTGGCGAGTTTTTCCCCTCCCTCCTCCGCGAAGCGCGGAAGCTTTGGCATTTCAATAAATTATTAGAGAAAGAAGACGATTCGTTGTACGGTTCTCGACTCTTAATCCTTGTCTAAATTCAGTTTCCCCCTCCCCACCCCCCTACCGCGCGAAGCGCGGAAGCTTCGACGTTTTATTAAATTATTAGAGAAAAAAGACGATCCGTTGTGTCGTTATCGACTCTTAATCCTTGTCTAAACTCAGTTTCCCCCTCCCACGCGAAGCGCAGAAGCTTCGACGTTTCATTAAATCATTAGCGAAAGAAGACGATTCGTTGTACCGTTATGACTTTTAATCCTCGTCTAAATTCAGTTCCCCACCCCCCTCCCCCCTCACCGCGCGAAGCGCGGAAGCTTTTACGTTTTATTAAATCATTAGCGAAAGAAGACGATTCGTGTACCGTTATGACTTTTAATCCTCGTCTAATTTCAGTTTCCCCCCCCCCCCACCCGCGCGAAGCGCGGAAGCTTTTACGTTTCATTAAATCATTAGAGAAAGAAGACGATTCATTGTACCGTTCTCGACTCCTAATCCTTGTCTAAATTCAGTTCCCCCCCCATCCTCCCGCGCGAAGCGCGGAAGCTTTAGACGTTTCATTAAATTATTAGAGAAAGAAGAAGATTTGTTGTACCGCTCTCGAAAAAAAAAATAGTTTCTCCCTTCCGCGCAAAGCGCGGAAGCTTTTACGTTTCATTAAATCATTAGAGAAAGAAGACGATTCGTCGTACCGTTATGACTTTTAATCCTCGTCTATTTCAGTATCCCCCCCCCCACCCGCGCGAAGCGCGGAAGCTTTTACGTTTCATTAAATCATTAGAGAAAGAAGACGATTCGTTGTACCGTTATGACTTTTAATCCTCGTTTAAATTCAGTTCCCCACCCCCCACTCACCGAGCGAAGCGCGGAAGCTTTTACGTTTCATTAAATCATTAGCGAAAGAAGACGATTCGTTGTTCCGTTATGACTTTTAATCCTCGTCTAATTTCAGTTTCCCCCCCACCCGCGCGAAGCGCGGAAGCTTTTACGTTTCATTAAATCATTAGAGAAAGAAGACGATTCGTTGTACTGTTCTCGACTCTTAATCCTTGTCTAAATTCAGTTCCCCCCCATCCTCCCGCGCGAAGCGCATAAGCTTTAGACGTTTCATTAAATTATTAGAGAAAGAAGAAGATTTGTTGTACCGCTCTTGAAAAAAAAAAAATAGTTTCTCCCTCCCGCGCAAAGCGCGAAAGCTTTTACGTTTCATTAAATCATTAGAGAAAGAAGACGATTCTTCGTACCGTTATGACTTTTAATCCTCGTCTAATTTCAGTTTCCCCCCCCCCCCACTTTTACGTTTCATTAAATCATTAGAGAAAGAAGACGATTCGTTGTACCGTTATGACTTTTAATCCTCGTCTAATCTCAGTTTCCCCCCTCCCGCGCGAAGCGCGGAAGCTTTTACGTTTCATTAAATCATTAGAGAAAGAAGACTATTCGTCGTACCGTTCTCGACTCTTAATTCTTGTCTAAATTAATTTTTCCCCCCCTCCCCGCGCAAAGCGCGGAAGCTTTGACGTTTCATTAATTCAATAGAGAAAGAAGACGATTCGTTGTACCATTCTCGATTCTTAATCCTTTCAAAAATGTTCTATGTCTATTCCCTTTTCTTCCTACGTCCCCTTTTCACTTCTCTCTTTTTTGGCCGGCGTTTATGGGGGGACCACCCCACCGCCCCCCTGGCTACGCGCCTGCGGTCAGATGAACATATGTTGATACCTTCCCAATAAACAAAATCACGTGAAAATCACGTCAATATCAAGGTATCGACTTGAGGAGAGTTACGTTCTTCAAACACCTGACATTTACGTAAATGTGTTAATACGTTTATTGCACTAGGTAACTTAAAACACACGTGCACTAAATCACGCAATTGTCACTGCAATATCACCATTATAATCACCATTATAATCACGTGATTATCCCTACCTTGGAGACCATGGTTTGTAAACCTAACACTCCCGTGTTTGTTTGGTTATGAAATTACATCTTCATAAACGAAATTATCGCGTCACAGAAACACGTGAAGCGTTAGTGATAGTTTTAGTCAAAATATCTGCGTGAAATTCACGTGAATATTACGAGGCTGACTTGAGATGAATCATTTACTTCGACGTAAAATTTACGTCGAAGAGGAAGTATGTTACTGTAACCCGCGTTTAACCCAATAATTACGCAAATGTTACACAATAAATGAACCAACATATTGACGTTCTCATCCCGTTTCTGAACATCGTGTCTTCGATCTTACATAATTACGTCCAGGCGCGCCGGAAGCAGTTTGGGATTAGAGAGGGTTTGGGGGGGGGGGGGGGGGTGCAAACATCCCAGAAGAGAAAGCTAGTTGCAACTGGTCCAGTTGATGAACCATATAACTGGTAACCCTGGAAATTGAAATGGGCTAAATGATCCAGTTGATCCAGGCCAGTTATAATTCAACTGGTCTAGCTGAGCCATTAAAACCATTTGGTAAAACTTCCAACCAGTTGAACAGCAACAGTACTTCAATACTCTGTATTTCCAATGTAAATGCATTGGTAATAAGTAGACTTACATAATTGAATTAATCGAGAAAAAAAATTGTATACTTGTACTTTATTGAAATTATTTTAGGTCATAGTTATTGTTTCCCTTATTCATGTTTAACTAAATGTAATTTATACGAAGTAGCGAAATGTCCTAATAACTGGTAATTTATATTTGTAGTATTTTCGAAATGAATTGCATATAACTAAATCAACAGTAAATAAGAAATATGCTGTAAATTCAGATAAATTGTTTAAAAAACATAGATCTGCACGCACCCCATATTCAATATGCAAATTAATTGGTGTCAGCTGGTTCAACTCGAAATATGTCAACACTCAGTCATCAACTGGTGCAACTGGAAATATGCACACTCCAGTTATCAACTGGTGCAATGAAAATATGCCAACAGTCAGTTATCAACTGGTGAACATAGAAATATGCCAACAGTCACGGGATTATCACCACGGAACTTAAATGGTAACTGTGAAACCATCAAGACACCCAAGAATAACTCATTTTCACACCTGGAAAACACGGAATACCCAGCTTATATTAATAATCCGTTTGAGTCACGAGATCATCACCGCGGAACTGCTAGCAACGTTGACTACCATTTAAATAGGTGTTTTAAGACACCTAATAATGACTAATTTTTCACACCTAAAAGTCACGTATGCCCAGCTTAGATTAATATTCCGTTTGAGTCACGAGATCATCACCACGGAACTGCTGGCAACGTTGACTACCATTTAAATAGGTGTTTTAAGACACCTAATAATGACTAATTTTTCACACCTAAAAGTCACGTATGCCCAGCTTAGATTAATATTCCGTTTGAGTCACTAGATCATCACCGTGGAACTGTTGGCAACTTTGACTACCATTTAAATAGGTGTTTTAAGACACCTAATAATGACTAATTTTTCACACCTAAAAGTCACGTATGCCCAGCTTAGATTAATATTCCGTTTGAGTCACGAGATCATCACCGCAGAACTGCTGGCAACTTTGACTACCATTTAAATAGGTCTTTTAAGACACCTAACGATAACTAATTTTTCCCACGTAAAAGTCACGTATGCCCAGCTTAGATTAATATTCCGTTTGAGTCACTAGATCATCACCGTGGAACTGTTGGCAACTTTGACTACCATTTAAATAGGTGTTTTAAGACACCTGATAATTACTAATTTTTCACACCTAAATATCACGGATTCACAGCTTAGATTAGTAATCAGTTTTAACTACGTGATCATCACCAAGAAATTTATGGTAACTTTGAAACCATTTAAAGAGGCGTGTAAGACACCTCAGAATTACTAATTTAATATAACCAGAGATTCACGGACAGAACAATAAGATGATTAGCCGGTGTAAGTAACGTGATTATTACCATCAACCTTGGATAACCTGTGAAACCAATCGATAAAGGTGCATACAAGACCAAATAATTACGTATTTATCGCCACCATCGGATAACGGACAAAAAACTCGTTGCTTGGTCAAGTGGTTATTTGGACATAAACACTTGATTTACAGAGGTAAGTGGAATCACGTTACTCCAGTCGCGAGATAAACTGGTGGTTTTTAGGTTAGATGAAAACGTGAACAGGAGTACCTTTTTTGTTTAAAGGAAGGCACGTGTCGATAACGTTTAAATCTAGTTCAAAAGGCACTATACTTTAAAATCACTTAAAATACACTCCCAAAAGAGGTTACTTTTTAGTGTTCTGTTTATTGGGTTGTCCGCCCCGGAAGCACAGGGGTTTAAAATTTTAACTACGGTCAGATGAGCATTATTTTGATACCTAATTGTTACAGTGGCAGGTCACTAATTGACTTGGGGTTCAAGGGGCGGAGCCCCGGAATCTCAAGGGTTTTAGGAGTTTAATTACGGTCAGATGAGCATTTTTGATACCTTATTATTTTTGACACTGGCAGGACACTATTTGGCGTGGGGTCCAGGGGGCTGAGCCCCCAGAAATCAGGGGTTTTAGGCATTAAATGACCGTCAGATGAGCATCTAAGGGCCCGCCTTAGGGCCTTAGGTGGAATCCAGGGGCCAGAGCCCTTGGGGTTTTAGGCATTTAATCATGGTCAGATATGCATATTTTGATACCCCATTATGTGACACTGGCAGTTAACTATTTTTTCTTTCTCGCTCTCTTTCTTTCTATTTCTCTTTAATATACTTTTTCAAAGAAAGTGTGTGTGTGGGGGGGGGGGGGGGGCTCGAGGATACCGATCCCCGCCGTTCCGCGGGCCCTGATATGTAGGGATCTCAAGAAGCATTTTCTTGCCTGGCTGTAAATTTAGGAATTTGTCATTTTCGAACAAACGCATAAAGTGAGGAAAAATCTCGGAAAATTATCTCATTTCAGCATTATTTGTAAACCACCGTTATGAAATTAGAAATAAACCACGTTTGAATTCTATTTCTCCAAAGCCCCCCCCCCTCCCCTTTCAGTACGCCAGTGGCCAACCCCCCCCCCCCCCCCTCTCCGATCTACACCTTGTTGGCGGGAAAATTGCAACTAATATCCCTTACCTTTCTTCATTCTCTTTTTTTTTCTTTCCCTTTCTCTCCTCTTTCCCTTTCCCTTCCCTTCCTTATCTCTCTTTTAGGTTTGCTGGGGGGGGGGGAGGGGTAAGGTCATTTTGGTCCTCACTGCTCCACACATTGTTGGCGGGATTAACCGCAACTGATCTCCGCTTCTTTTCTCCCTTTTCTTTTTTTCTTCCTTTTTTTTGGTTCCCTTTTAGCTCTCCTCTTTACCTTTTCCTTCCTTCTCTCTTTTTTTTTTAGCGGGGACGGGGGGGGGGGGGAAGGCTAGGGCCTTTTGCCCCCCCCCCCGATCCACAACTTGTTGGCGGGAAAATTGCAACTGATATCCCTCCTTCTTTTCTTTTCTTCTTCCTCTTTTGTCCTTCCCTTTATCTCCTCTTTTTCTATTTTTCTTTCCCTTTCCTTCCTTCTCTTTTATTTTTTGATTGGGGGGGGGGGAGGATGGCAACAGCCTGGGAGGCAAGTCCTTTTGCCCCCCCCCCCCGATCTCCTTCTTCCCTCTTTTCTTTTCTTCTTCCTTTCTTTTTTTTCCCTTTCTCTCCTCTCTCCCTTTCCCTTTCCCTTTCCTTCCTTCTCTTTTATTTTTGATTGGGGGCGGGGGGAGGGAGGATGGCAACAGCCTGGGAGGCAAGTCCTTTGCCCCCCCCCCGATCTCCTTCTTCCCTCTTTTCTTTTCTTCTTCCTCTTCTTTTTTTTTCCCTTTCTCTCCTTTTTCCCTTTCCCTTTTTTTCCTTCTCTCTCTCTCTCCTTTTTTTTTTTTTTTTTTGCGGGGGGGGGGGGGGGGGGCAAGGCCCGCTCGGACCCCCCTGGATCCGCACCTGTTGAGGTGTCATATGAAAGGGCAGAAACTGAACTTTCTAGAATTGTGATTTTCTCTTTGAAATTGAGATACCGTCCGCCGAATGACTTTTTGGTTCCCTCTCTTCAAATTGTTTATAATCACTCATGCGTGAAAAATGCATCATATGATTTGCATCAAATGAAAGAAGAGGATCTAAGCTTTACAAATATGTGTCATTTATTAATTATGATTGTGATTACGTTATGATAAAACATCGATAATCCTCGGTTTCGTTTTTCTTGGACGCACTGTAGAAATTAATCGTGAAAAACAAAACATTCTAGTTGTGTAAAACGACTCACCTCTCCGGTGTACCTCTCCATTCGTTATTGGGTTGTTTGAACTTGGTGAAAATGTCCGTCATCGAATGCACTGGTTATCAATTTACGTCCTTTGTTTAACATTTTCAGGTATTCTCAGTTCTTGGTCAAGTACCCGTCCGCGGTCATGTTACTCGTTTTTCTGCTGGTCATCATCTCGGGAGTTCTTGGTGTCCTTCTCAATGAATTTCCTTCCTTCGATGACCCAACAAAGGTTAGATAATATGCTAGATATTTTGTTGGCTTGCATTTTACTGAGCATTAAAATAAACATAACACTTTTTTAAGGGACACCCATAAATTTATATGAATAATTAATTAAATTTGGTCATAAACATGAAAATGCCTGAAGAGTAGAAAAGTTGGTTGGCTTACTTTTTAAGATTTGATGTTGACTGTGTGTGTGGATACTGTTTATTTAGTTATTTAAAACCATTAATTTTGACAAGACTTATTCAAATAAATTCAACTCAAAGTTTTTTTTACATGGTATTCTTGTAACAAAAATTACTCATGCAGTAAACAAGAGAAAATGAAATAACATAACTATAAGGGAGTTTACAGATAGCACATGGTACACAATAATGACCCCAAATATCCACAGATCTTTTACACATGGAGAAGTTCCACTTTGAGCATCTTAGAATAATAGCTGCCAAAGTCCTAGATGTGCTTCATGAATACCTTTTGTTTGACCTCTTGAAAAGAATACTTCCACCTGCGTATCATAGAATGTACCGTTGGTGCATAAATGAATAATGTTACATATCTTTCATGAGCGCATATCCAGTATTCATCTTTGTGAGTTTTACCATTTTGGTACAAATGACCTTTATCTGCCCATGCGCAGATTGTATCTGTAAACTCCCTTATTCAATGATTTTACAATCGAGTTTCCTGGTAATGTCACTAATACAAATAAAACATCGTGTTATACTGATATTGTTTTTGGCTATAACACAATGCATGACTTACTATGTGAAGCTGATATAATTGTTGATTTTTGGCGACATGAAAAGAAGAGAACAACCACTAATGCCCCCTCCAAGACCACCCCTCCCCCGTTGCGTTTTACCCACCCACCAAGTAATTCCAGTGTTCCCTCCCGACTAGGGCACCATAACTGGACCAGTAATGTTTGATATCAATTCACTTTTTAATTCAGACCTACTATATTATGTTACTAAGTACGGGACCCTATTCACATACAGGCTATGCTTTTTATTTAGGCTCCCCACATTTTACATTGTAGAACATTGACTGTATATCTATTTCGAAACTTAGTACCTGTTTTCCGTACATTATACTTGATTTGAAATCTTTAAATTATTTTGTAATCTATGCTTATACGCTTTAAAAAAATTGTTGAAAAGAAGTTAAATTGTTTTGTGATGTAAATGTGGAACATAAACTTCATACTTCAAACTGCCATATGAATGGCCAACAACAGCAGCCACAACCACACATCAAGTTTTTTCTGGTGCTTGATTGGAACATTTAGGAAATTTCAAGTGGGAAATTGTTTTATTCATCATACGAATATTGATTTGAATGTGACCAGGACAACTATCTTTTGAAATGAAGGAGGGTACGAGACTATTGACTTTTCTACGATTGTATTTCATTTTGACAGGGATTCGAAGCCCGAGGAACAGTCATCAGTGGGCGATTGAAAGCTTTGGGGAGAATGGAGTATGGTGCTGATGGGATATACTCGTGCCCATCATCATCTAACCAATCAAATGGTGACATGTGTTCTCATCGTGTAACCATAGACATCCAAAACCAAACTCTAGATGTCGATGTACTAGAAAGTTGCGCAAACAATTGTAAGAATAAAGTCTTTGCTATTTGACCAAACACGACACTGGATATTTCTCCCCGGAGTGAATAATTCACATCAAATGACATGATATTTACAGCTATATCCCCTACCTGTAAAAACATGATCAAATCAACAGAAAAACTGAAACAATTTAAATTCACAATAATGAGATTTAAAAAAAAAATCATTATTGTAACATTATATATGAATACTATTTTTAAAAAAAAGATACTAATATAGGCCTTTATACAACACCTACGTGGATCCTTGTCATTTGATTGGAGGATTGTTGGTCACATGGTATTCAACAGATGTTCTATTGCAAGGGCGTGCATTTTTGGTTATAATTATGCAGACTTGCGTACCTCTCTGCTGTGCGCGTATCCGTGCGTGTATCTGTCGCGAAGGCAATCTGAATGTAATCAAGAAGGCTTGACTCCATATATCTTTAAAGCTTATCTGCCATAGTTTACAGGAGGATTTAGACTGCCCTGCAAGGTCACTGGACAGGTGGTTATCTCATCAACTCAGCTCTCAGTTAACATAAGAAAAAGAGGATCATGGGGGACCAATGGTCACCGACTAGGCATTGTTTGTTATATAGAGGGCGCAAGTAGCTACAAGTAGTGCAGTGGGCCTTTAATATAAGGAGTAAAGCATAATTTGTTGATTAACGTTCTATTAGATCTTCTTCGATGTTGTATAAAACAAATAATGAATGTTTTTCATTCGTTCAATTGTGCGAATATTTTCATTCGTTGAGAGTTTAACGTTAATTCTATTCAACTCGGCTGACGCCTCGTTGAATAGAATGTTAATCTTTCAACTCATGAAAATATTCCCACTATTGAACTCATAACCATTCATTATTTGTATAATAGGATGAGGGAGATTTCCGAAATTTAGATATTCGGACAACAACCACATCGAATTCCGTTAGCAAGGTGCCCGAATATCCACATATTTTGGAAGCGAAGTGTTCGTAGCCTATCATCATATTTGATGCCCGAATAGTCTCATGTTCGGACAGGAGGTGTCCGAATTTGTAATTTTTGCAATTTTCACCCCAAAAAGTTTCAAAGTTATTAAGCGCTCATGAAAGGCATCAGCTCACCCCCTCGCAAAAATGTGACTGTACGCCTTAGAAGATGCGGCATAGGATTCTTGTAGATCGTAGACTTTCTACAAAAAGGACACTACCATCATTTATTGTCAGGTATAATTTCTGTTCAGCTCTAAGGTGACGAACTACAAAAATGACAAATGTTTTAAGGGATATCGTTTTAAAGTATGTCCTTTTTTACATTTTCAATACCTAGTTGAAATATAAATGTACTCAATGCAAAATAATGTGCAAATAATGTAAAATAGAGACCGTAGGATGCATTTATAATGTTTTCACAATAATCAAGCGGCGGTGCATTTTCCTTTAAAACCGTGTCAACATAATAACATTGAATATATCGTATTTTATACTTTTTTTCTTCCGCAGTTCTATATCGGTTCCGAATGGTCTACCGATCTACTGACTCAATGGAGATGTTCACTTCTACTGGCATGAAAGCTGTGTGTCAACATGACAAAGAAAACTTTCGCAGTTACGTCGGTTTTGATCAGATCTGCTATTATCGTACAAATGGCAGTTGTTGTCCTTCGATATCATTAGGACAAGTGACAGCATTGATGGTTGGCAAAGAATCTTGCGATGACATTGATGACAGTGATGTACTAGGAATGAAAGAGCTGCTAGAGGAATGCGTTGGATACTATTCAAGAGGATGTTTTGGCGGTGATGGTGGCTTTATTTGCAGTGATGTTCCTGTAAACTGTTCAGCTTACTCCGGGGTATACACCATATTCCACTATCTCACCCCGAAGAACTTTGCACTGCAAGTCGCAAAAGGTGCCTTTGATCTTCAAACTGTCATGGTGATTCAACCTGTGCCAAATTGGGATCAAACTTTATATGACATATATACCGATAAACCTCGACTAACCGATAATACAGTACAAGTTGTTGCCATTGGTGGAGGATTTAAATTCGATTTATTTGGTGATTACCTTTTTTCAGACTTCATCTATATCGGTATCGGATGCCTTGCTGTAGTGGCCATCATTTGGATGTATGTGGGTTCATTGTTTGTCACAATTATGACTATGTTTAGCATTATTATGTCGATGGTTGTAGCGTACTTTCTCTTTCATACTGTCTTTCGATTGGTTTTCTTTCCTTTTATCAATGTTATAACAGCAGTGCTACTGATCGGTGTAGGGGCCGATGACTGCTTCGTTTATGTCGACATCTGGAAGTTGGCCAAAAAAGAACACGGTGGTGGTCGCGAGAATCGAGTATTAGTACTTCGTGAGACTCTGAAACACGCCGCGACCACCATGTTTGTTACAAGTCTCACAACGGCAAGCGCCCTCTTTGCAGGATGCGTCAGCAGCATCACAGCAGTTCGATGCTTTTCTGTCTTTGCTGGTAGTTCCATTTTAGTAAATTTCGTCCTCACAGTTACTTGGATACCAGCGGCAGTCATGTTTCATGAGAAATATTTCATATGCGACGAAGAGGCGCAAGAAGGATCATGTAGATGCTGTGGGTTATGGTTTTTCCTGGGGAGAATATACGACCAAGTGAGCAGAGTTGGCGGTATGTTCTTCGAAAAATACTTGCCAATTATCATTGTTAAGTTACGGTTCCTGTGGATTCTACTTCTAAGTGGTCTTGGAATAGGTGGGTTTTGTGTAGTTTTCGTGGAACCACGCCTCCGTCTCCCATCCCAATCTGAATTTCAGGTATTTAGGAAAAGTCATATTTTGGAGCAGTATGACCAGGTCTACAAAGAGACGTTTAGCTTTGAGACTGATTCGGACAACACAATGCCGGCTTATATAGTTTGGGGAATAGAACCTGTAGATAATGGGAACCATTGGGATCCAGATTCCGAAGGAACTACAGTCATTGACAAGAACTTTGATGTCACATCAGCCGAAGCTCAAACGTGGCTTTATAATTTCTGTACAGATCTTAGAAATGCAAGCTTTCATGTCAATATAGCAAGTGCGCAGGACGAGTTTTGTTTCATCGATTTATTCAAAAGTTTCATGGAGAATACGTGTACAGGAGCTATTTCTCAGTGTTGTGGCCAAACAACATTTCCATATCCGTCCTCTCTTTTCAATCATTGTGTGCCTATATTCTACGGTATTGTGTGTCAGGATTTGGGAACGTGTAAAAGCTATATACCTGGTTTATGGTTTAATTCAGATAATGAAGTAGTTGGAATGGTCCTCGTAATCAAAACAAATATCAAGTTTTCATTGAGCTATGACACCATTGGTCAATTTTGGTCTGATGCAAATGGTTTCATAGCAGATCGAATGGCTGAAGCACCTACGGGTCTGCGTCGGGGATGGTTTATAAGTGAGTATGGCCTGCAGATGTCGTTCTTTGATCTGCAACAAGGTTTAGCTAGGGGAACACCACTCTCTGTGGGCATGTCGCTCGTTTTCGCAGCTTGTGTCCTTTTGATGACTATCAGAAACGTTTTAGTGACCATTTACGCGATGTATGCCATTGCATGTGCCGTGTTTGTTGTAATCGCCTCGGTGGTTCTACTAGGATGGGAACTCAACATATTTGAGTCAACTGTCCTCTCCCTAGCTGTTGGTTTATCAGTGGATTTCACAGTCCATCTAGGTGTTGCTTACCGTCAAGCAACCGAACCTGACAGGACATCTCGGTCAATGCATGCATTACAGACACTTGGCTCAGCTGTTACACTCGCAGCACTTACCACCTTGGTTGCAGGTGGATGCATGTTGCCTGCCACGGTACTCAGTTATGTTCAGTTGGGGACATTTCTAATGATAGTCATGGTTGTCAGCTGGGTATACGGACTGTTCCTATTTATATCACTTTGTAGGACCATTGGCCCGCAAGGGATGTTTGCACAAATCTCAAAATCATGCTGTCGTCGGGAACAAAACTTGGCTGAAAATAACCTAGAAATGAAACCAGAGGAACATGTACACGAACAGCATGTCGACACGAGTGATGAAAGAATACAGCGTTGACATAAAATAATCATTGATATGAGGTGAAGAAGAATATCCTTCTAGTTGGTAAAATTATTTCCAAAGGTATTTTGTATTGTATTTTATTTATTTAATCACGGTTAAAAAGCCTGCTATCAGCTAGAAACTGCTTTTCAGCAAGGCCGTGAACAACAATTGAACACAACAAGTAAACGAATACAAAATTATATACAAAATAAATCATACAAATTATCATAACAACATAATAAGATGAAAACAAACAAAAATGAATTAAAAATTACTTGGATAACAGAAACGATGGAGGGGGTGTATTACTTAAGAGAGGGATATAAGACGTGCGAATGCTCCCAGGCTATTTTCTAATCGGATGTTTGCCGGTAGGTTATTGAAAAGTTTTGAGGCTGAATAGAGAGGGCTCTTTTTGAGGTAATTTGTATGTGGTCGTGGCAGTTGGCAGGTCCGGGCCGAAGGCAGGTACTGGAAGCACACCATTGGCAAACATAATAAATACAGCTTTTCAGCTAGGATTTTTTCCTCAAAGGTGGAAATATGCTTAAGTTACACCTGCCGCCTAAGTCTTATCCGCCTAAAATTGACGAGTTAAGACCAATTATTGCATTAACTTCATATTTTGCAAAGATCGCGGAGTCCTTCATTGCAAAATGGTTATGGGAAGACATTGCTAAGAAAATAGATAAAAACCAGTTTGGTAATAGACGAAACTTGTCTACATGTCATTATTTAATTAGATTACTACATGCATTATATAGAAACGCCGACAAACCTCACTCAATATCCACAATGCTTTTGACTGATTTTTCGAAAGAATTTGATCGAATAAACCATAATAGATTTCCGGGTCTGACCTTGCGAAATTTCATTATTAATCGTCAGCAAGCTGTGAAGTTTAAAGGACATTTATCCCAATCTTAACACAATTAATGGTGTAGATGTACCAGAAGAACTAACCTATTAATGTTATTTTTTACCTAAGTATTATACGGATTAATTGACTGTGAGTGAGTGTAAAGTTAAATTATCCTCCGAAAACGCCACAGAGATCGCGATGTCAAATTTAAATTCTTAAAGGCGAGGAGTGAGCGCCTGCGCCAGACAGCTATTCACAGATTCCCTGTTATCTGGAGACTCTCAGCTGAAATTCGTGTAGAGGCAGTGCCAGGAAACTTGCCGCATTTGTTATGAGTAATGAAAACTAAACTTTTAAGGGTAATTTTATGTTTCTGTTATAATATACATATAAATATATATATATTTCTTCACCATAATTCATGAATTCTGGTACAGTTTATTTGAGCTGGCTGAAAACGATGTATTTAGTGGGTGAAATTGTAATCTGTGTGCCCATGCCTTGAGCCATAATGCATGGCCGTCCAGAGGAATTTTTTCATGTTGGGGACCGGGGTAAAATAAAATGAAATAAATGATTGCAAATTTATTGCATTTTCTGTGTGCTTTTTTATTTATAGAAACTGCCCCCTACCCTAGCCCCCGCTGCATACAGTCATGGTTCAGTGACAAAGCAATGGCCTCGTAACTGTGAGGCCCCAGGATCAAAACCGTGTCGATATGCTATATTAGTGCCCTTTTGTGGGGCATTAATCCTCATTACTGTCATTTATGACTTAATGGCGTACTCTCTTAAAAAAAGGAGTGAATTTTCACTCTATTTTCACTTTATTGAAAGTGACGTCCGTGATCACTTGTTTAGAAGTGAAAATCGATTGATTTTAGAGTGCTCTCTAAGAAGAAAAGAGTGAATGTTCACTCTATTTTCACTACATTTTCACCCTCCAGAGGAGTGACGTCCGTGATCACTCGATTTTTTTAGAGAGTAAGTCCCCTAGTTGATAAGTAGCATACAAATGCTTTAGCAGTCACGCAAAACACACCCTAATAAACAGAACACTAAAAAGTAACCTCTTTTGGGAGTGTATTTTAAGTGATTTTAAAGTATGGTGCCTTTTGAACTAGATTTAAACGTTATCGACACGTGCCTTCATTCAAACAAAAAAGTACTCCTGTTCACGTTGCATCTAACCTAAAAACCACCAATCTTTCACGCGACTGGCGTAACGTGATTCCACTTACCTCTGTAAATCAAGTGTTTATGACCAAATAACCACTTGTCCAAGCAACGAGTTTTTTGTCCGTTAACTGATGGTGGTGATAAATACGTAATTATTTGGTATTGTAAGCACCTTTATCGATTGGTTTCACAGGTTACCCAAGGTTGATGGTAATAATCACGTTACTTGCACCGGCTAATCGTCTTATAGTTCTGTCCGTGAATCTCTGGTTATATTAAATTAGTAATTCTGAGGTGTCTTACACACCTCTTTAAATGGTTTCAAAGTATTTCTTGGTTATGATCACGTGGCTCAAGCTAATTACTAATCTAAGCTGTGAATACGTCATATTTAGGTGTGAAAAATAGTAATTATTAGGTGTCTTAAAACACCTTTTTAAATGGTAGTCAAAGTTGCCATAAGTTCCGCGGTGATGATCTCGTGACTCAAACAGAATACTAATCTAAGCTGGGCATACGTGACTTTTAGGTGTGAAAAATTAGTAATTATTAGGTGTCTTAAAACACCTCTTTAAATGGTTTCAAAGTTACCATAACTTTCTTGGTGATGATTACGTAGTTAAAACTGATTACTAATCTAAGCTGGGCATACGTGACTTTTAGGTGTGAAAAATTAGTAATTATTAGGTGTCTTACAACACCTCTTTAAATGGTTTCAAAGTTACCATAACTTTCTTGGTGATGATTACGTAGTTAAAACTGATTACTAATCTAAGCTGTGAATCCGTGACTTTTAGGTGTGAAAAATTAGTCATTATTAGGTGTCTTAAAATACCTATTTAAAAGGTAGTCAATGTTGTCAGCAGTTCCGCGGTGATGATCTCGTGACTCAAACGGATTATTAATATATGCTGGGTATTCCGTGTTTTCCAGGTGTGAAAATGAGTTATTCTTGGGTGTCTTGATGGTTTTACAGTTACTATTTAAGTTCCGTGGTGATAATCCCGTGACTGTTGGCATATTTCTATGTTCACCAGCTGATAACTGACTGTTGGCATATTTTCATTGCACCAGTTGATTACTGGTCTGTGTGCATATTTTCAGTTGCACCAGTTGATGACTGACTGTTGGCATATTTCCAGTTGAACCAGCTGATACCAATTAATTTGCATATTGAATATGGGGTGCGTGCAGATCTATGTTTTTTTAAACAATTTATCTGAATTTACAGCATATTTCTTAATTACTGATGATTTAGTTATATGCAATTCCTTTCGAAAATACTACAAATATAAATTACCAGTTATTAGGACATTTCGCTACTTAGTATAAATTACATTTAGTTAAACATGAATAAGGGAAACATTAACTATGAACTAAAATAATTTCAATAAAATACAAATATATGAAAAAAATTCGAGTAATTGAATTATGTAAATCTACTTATTACCAATGCCTTTACATTGGAAATACAGACGTACCAACATTGAAGTGTTGTTGCCGTTCAACTGGTTGGAAGTTTTACCAAATGGTTCTAATGGCTCAGCTAGACCAGTTGAATTCTAACTGGCCTGGATCAACTGGATCATTTAGCCCATTTCAATTCCCAGGGTTACCAGTTGGCATCAACTGGTTCATCAACTGGACCAGTTGCAACTAGCTTTCTCTCCTGGGATGTTTTCACCCTCCCCCACCCCCCCCCCCACCCCCTCTAATCCCAAACTGCTTCCGGCGCGCCTGGACGTAATTATGGAAGATGCAAGACACGATGTTCAGAAACGGGATGAGAACGTCATTATTTTGGTTCATTTATTGTGTAACATTCGCGTAATTATTGGGTTGAACGCGGGTTATAGTAACATATTTCCTCTTCGACATAAATTTCACGTGAATGAAGAACATGATTCATCTCAAGTCAGACTCGTAATATTTACGTGAATTTCACGCAGATATTTTGACTAAAACTATCACTAACGCTTCACGTGTTTCTGTGACGCGATAATTTCGTTTATGAAGATGTAATTTCATAACCAAACAAACACGGGAGTATTAGGTTTACAAACCATGGTCTCCAAGGTAGGGATAATCACGTTGTTATAATGGTGATATTGCAGTGATAATTGCGTGATTTAGTGTACGTGTGTTTTAAGTGACCTATACCCCATTCACAGTGGCCTCAAACACCGCGACAGCAGCGGGACTGTCCCGCTGCTGTCGCGGTGTTGTCTTCAGTGTGAAGGCTCGGACCCGTTATAAACTATCGCGGGATAACACCGCCTCGCGATAACGCCGCGACAAACTATCGCTAGGTTCGCCTAGCTACAGCAGCGGGACAGTCCCGCTGCTGTCGCGGTGTTTACTCAGTGTGAAGGCTCTCCGCTATAACACCGCGACAAACACGTGTGATTTGTTTACTTACCTATCACTGACCTCTTTTCTCCAGCAATGGGGAACATAAAGTGAAATAGAAATAAAGTAACCAGTGGATTCAAATTGATTTATTATTATGTAGATATTATAATTATCCAAATAAAAATATTTCACACTTCAAAAAATTAAAATATTCTGACTGGAAGCAATAAAAATGCTAGTTTTTTAAAAAGTAATATGATCAAAGATACAAAAAGCAACTTGACATGTTTACCTTTTGCAATCGAAAACCCCGCGCTGAAGTATTTCCGGTCATATCGGGGTCACTCGCGGGTCATGAGCCATGCATACACGTGTTTGTTACTGAGGTAATAAAAATCACCCGCTGCAGCGTGAATGGGTACATGATATTTATCCCGCTGCTGCAGCGGGATAACTTTTCTAATGTGAATGCATTTGTAGCGGTGTTATGGCGGTGTCGCCGCTCCGCTACAACGCCGCTACAAATTTCAAAACCACTGTGAATGGGGTACTAGTGCAATAAACGTATTAACACATTTACGTAAATGTCAGGTGTTTGAAGAACTAACTCTCCTCAAGTCGATACCTTGATATTGACGTGATTTTCACGTGATTTTGTTTATTGGGACATTGGCAAATTATTATTCAATAAAATCTGAGAATGTATACTATTATCTAGATCTACTATTTTAAAATTATTTTTAAAATAATTCCATAAATTGGGGTAAAAGAAAAATGTTCCAAATATATGAGCGACAGTGTAGAACAAGTACACAAACATTCCAATTGCCAGGCCAACTTGAACTGCTCGCACCATGCATCAAATAATATGAAATTAGATGTATTGAAATGTTCCTCGATGTCATTTTCAATTTCTTATCAACCTATACAACCACCTTTGTTATATACTTTATCCTTGGTAAATACGGTTAGGATTCTTGGTGTCACGATTCAAAGTGACCTTAAGTTGAATACTAATGTAACTGGAATTATAAAGAAGAGTAATAGAAAATTATTCATGCAATATACGTAGATTTAAAACTTACAACATACCTGTTTGCGATCTGTTAATGGTTCATGTATATATTGGATATGTAAGACTAATGTACTTTGAAGTACTGTGTATTTCTTTTTTTCTGCAAGTTTGACTATCAGACAGATTAATCATATAGAAAGTATACAATAAGAGAATGCAGAATAATTCCTGGATCAAACTACAGTTCATATGTCAATACATAAGAAAGACGAGATTGCTATTTCTTTTGACTCGTATAGAAAAACTGATTTAATATTGTGCTGTTTCATTTGAGAAAAGTATGTTGTGTCAATCGTGGTTAACTCCCAAGAAAGCTACCAAATTCAATTTATGAAATGTCAAAAAATATCAATAATTTACTTGCAGAACTAAGAGATTCTAAAATAGTGCTCATTTCTAATCTCACACGCATACTCAATAATCATCATGCGAATCAAAGCTTGTAATAATCATTTATCATTTTTGTAAGGCTTTGACCTGTTTCAAATTTGTATGGTGTTAAGCTCTATCAAGTGGCTGATTTTTTTGCCTATGTCTATATGTTTACCATATAATACCTTTTCTCCATCCGTATTTGTATTTCTCCATTATTCTCTCTCTCACGTTTTCTTCTTTTTTCTACTTTACCTCTTACTTTTGTATCGTGCAATATTTTTCATTAAAAGCGGAAATGTAATCATCTTTAAATTGTATATGCCTTAATGATACTTTTTACGACATCTTTCCACATGTTATCTGACATTCATTACCTAGTATTATATGTCATTTAATATTTAATTCAATATGTTTTATTCACTATCGCACTTGTTATGTATAATGTATTTTAATCTTTGTAAAAACATGCAATTCAGTCTTTGTACTGCGAAACATGTTCGAATAAACCTTTATCGAATTGAATTGAATTAAATTTAATTGAAAGCTGTCCAGACTCCACGAGCATTCCTTATTAATACAGTTTGAAACTTTCATTTGTGGATTCATTTTTCTAATTCTAAACCTTTTGAGACGAACAGTAATGACATCATCAATCACGACAAAGACTCGTAATTAAGATAACTTGCGCATTGGTCCTGTTTCGATTTATTTTGATCTTGATTATGATAATCGCCTGAGATGTAATTTATTTGTCGTGTGAAATATAAGAAGATGAATTACGGAATTCGCTCATTAGCAGCTAGTCATGAACAACTGTGATTGCTACGGCTCTGTGAAGAAAAATCACAATTAAGAGAAAAATATGCAATATTATCTGTAAAATTCTAACTGCGATTGCTCTTTGTAAGGTTGGTACATGTATGAGACAATAATGGAGTCTATACAGTATCTAGGTCCTGCCATGAAAGACCACAAAAGCAATTATCTCAAAAGTACAGACTTTTGAAAGTATTATTCCATATGAGTTCATATACGAATTTTAACACTTCATGCGATGTTTGATAGGCCTCAGTCTAATAAGACAGACAATATCTTTTATATACATTGTAACAAATTAATTTGTTTGCTGTTTTTGCTAGTTTTGCTCGTTTTACTTTGTATATCATCTTATGTTATTAGGCCTTCTTGCCCACCTATTATTATTGTTACGTCCTTAACCATTGCAACCACCTTAATCAAATGTTAGTTTTATTTAGGGAAAGGGGAAACCTATAATCTACAAGCTGAGCTTTGTAATAGGTTCCTCATATTTCCCCCGCTATAACCTACTATTTAATCAAAATACAATTAATTTAGACGTCTTTACAAAGAATTGATTATATAATGTGATGCTTTTTATAGTATATTTCATATTGGCCCGAATTCACAAAGGAGGTTTGTCGTCAAACTGAGGTTTATGTACGTAATATGACGCGTTTTGACGCGTTTTTTACAAACCTGTTTTGTAAAAACGCGTCGAAACGCGTCATATGATGCACGGAAACTAAGGTTTGTCGACAAACCTCCTTTGTGAATTCGGGCCATTATGTTCAAATTTTGTCAATTATGTAAATTCTTTTTTTTTGTGAAATGTGAAAGAAAATAATCTTGAACTTGAAAATAAACTTTAACTTGAACTAGTTCATTCCTATTTGATACATTGAATTACATTCTTAAGAAACAGTACTTCACTAGATTTCTTCAAAAACAACTGAAAACTAACCTGTACAACTCCTCTAAATTGTTGATAGTCTAAGAGAGCATGCAGTGCCTTGTATCTTTTGTAAAAGGCGCTATATAAATCCAATTATTATTATTATTATTATTATTATTATTATTATTACATATTTTTAATATAATGTGTCGTTATGTAAACGTAGGTTGTATTTCTCTTAATGCCTTGTATTTACCAGTGATTTATTCGTGTCCTTTGATATATTTTTGATCAAGTATATAAGAATAAAAAGTTTCGAAAAAAATGAAACATTGATCTATTTAACTCATTTCTGATATTGAAGTTGTTATTTGTTTGTGAATCAGCATCGAATGTTCATTTTATTTTGCCACAAAGTTTTTGCATCTATCACACAATAAATCACATTGTTTGTAGCAGAAATGTGTTCTGTTTGTCCTATATTAAGATTACCAAAAAAAATTACACCAATGGTTTTACAGTGTTTTGGAAGATTCGTAAATATTATGAAATATGTGTGTGTGGGTGTGTGGGTGTGTATGGGTGTGCGTGTGCGTGTGGGTGTGTGGTGTGTAGGTAGGTGTGTGTGTGTGTGCGTGTGTGTGTGTGTGTGTGCGTGTTTGAAAGTGTGTGTGACATTACGCTGTAGACAATGGAGATAAGATTTGATATACAAATACTGCCTAGATGAGCTTAGAGAAAGATAATAGTCTCAAACAACTCTCATTTGCACATATCGACCTGTGTTAAGAACATGGTAACGGGCCTATACTTACCTTGATTTACTTATCTTTTTATGCTCGTTACTCCGCTCTTATGCATTTTCTACCAAAATCGTTAGGCACATTTATTTTTTATTCTTGAACATTCAGTGTGTTATGTTGGATTATATGAGAATTTATTTAGTATCATTACCAGAACGCAAGCTTATATCTTTAAGAAAGAACTCAAGTACGTCCTGCATATAGATATGACGAGAGTCGGTTGTTAAAGATGAAAAAAGAAAATGAAAGAGTTTACAAAGTGATTAAGAATCCGTCTGTTTTTCATCTTTACCTCTCCGTTTAAAGAGAGTTTTTTTTTATATAATTAAAACAAATATTTTCCTTCTTGTTTATACGTGTAGTTTCTCTCATTAATTGTGTAGTATTGTTGTAGTTGTTGCTGCTTTTTTCCCCTTCCAATCATAAAAATGTTACTTGTATTTTTTATTTTTTTGTAAGATATAAATATTTATTATGTATCACAGGGCTTCATAGAAGATCAAATGTAATTTTTATTGAAATATCCTGCTTTCCTATGCGTGAATGAATAAATAAATAAATAAAATAGTTAAGGAGAGAATAGGGAAGGCTCGTAAAAGCGAACATAAAGAATTTAATTTAATGTAATTGTAACGTTTCCTAAGTTCTGTACATCTCCTCTCTTACTCAAATTTAAATATATGTCAGAGTAGATTTTTATTCTATGTTTTTGTTTTTACCCTCATCCCTTTTGATTCTTTAATTCAAAATATTTATTATCTGTCTGTAAATAATACGATTTTAACTTACTAGTTTTGCACATGTATGTCGGGGACCCCACCAGAACTGGGTTATCCTGTTCCAGCTGCCTCATTTTTTATCTGTTATTCTTTTATATTGGAGTAGATTGGAGGCTTGGTGAATGAAATCAATCAATCCTACTATTTAATATTCATTGTCTGTTGCGTTCACTCTGAATTTAGCATGCACTTAGGATTGGCGTGTACCGGCGCGTGCATTTACACAGCAATGACGTAAATAGCGCTCCGATCGATAAAACGTCTTTACATTATATAATGCATTTGTACAGATGAATAGTTAAATCCCAGGTACATGGTTACACAACTACAAATCGGTCACCATTACTGCTTTCACCCTCGCCAAGCTACTAACACTTCCTGCATAATACCAACCTACCCCGACACATTTGTCTGCTTAAAATTTACGAGAATGGTACATGTAATACACCATGACGTGATTTTGACTTCACACATCGTCCAAGGAGTAATGAGATTTTAATTTGCCGCTTTCTTGAAAGGTTAGTTTTTCATTCATTAATGTTCCTTTTAAGATCTGTATTGTGGAAAATGGAGATGTTGAGAACATACGCCTTATTTCTAATTTATATAGCTTTGACGTTGCAAAGTTTATCGTTTTGAATATATAATATATGTGTGTGTGTGTGTGTGTGTGTGCGTTCGTGGCGTGCGAGTGTGCGTGTGTATTAGGTTTATGCGATAATGGCATACTGATATCAGTAACCTGCCAATTTTTTTTAACAACAGTTCATTTAAATGGTTCATTGTAATTTTTTTCTTCTCACAAAGTATACTCCACCTCGGCAGTGGGGGATCCTATCCCGGTCATGGAGGTTGGTCCCGAGGTCGACGCCCATGATGATGGTGATAACCAACATGACCCAAAAACTAAGAAAAATGAAGGAAGGAATGAGAAAGATGAACAAAACAAGGAGAAAACAACTGGCTTTTTGCATAGGTAAACAATTTTAATTTCCTCGAAATTCTTCCCTTACTCCTTCCTCTCCTCCTTTACTTCCTTGTTAGTGACTGCAATGAGCTAGGCAGTAAGAGGGACTTAGTAACATTGTTTAGATGAGAGAAAATGGTGCTTAGGTAAAGACTTCATTGCTAGATGTACAATTAAAGATAATCTAAACGTTTAAATGAAAACAGACCAATAATAATGATAACAAATTGGAAAAAAACCTGATCTGATCGTTTCCTTAATTCTCCAAACTATATCATTACAATGTAATTACATTTTAGGTGAATGTAAATCGTCACAAAGCACTGAATAGGCTTTATATACCATTCCAAGCATTTAAGTGTTGACAGGTTTTTAAAAGCCTATCGTATGTCTCATTTTCATGGGAAAATGGTTGGGGATAAATTACTGTTAAAGTGTGTTGCATAATTATCTTTGTCGTTTGATAATTTTTGTTCAGGATCTGTTACATGTTAGAGGGTTAGTACAGTTGAAGGAATATAAAAAGTAATATTTCATACACAAATTACGCAGTTTTTTCATCAACCGTCAACAATGTTACCGAGTCACTTTAATGTGGAAAAAACAAATATTTATCAAACGTATCGGGGATATACATAGCAATTTACAACCACTGCATCAGCTGTATAATTACTAGGGATGGTTGATTGTCAGCTCATTCCGGTCTACTGAAACCCCGGAGACAATTTGGGTATTACGATAGGAAGTGAGAGATAAGCCAGTTATTAAGGATAAAACTGTAGTAATCACTCTGTTGTCATCAATTCAGATATGATTAAATTCACTTGCTGTCTTTTCTTTGGCATCTTACACAGCTATGCTCGGTTCCTTGTTCGATTTCCCTCGATTGTCCTCCTTCTTGTTCTCCTCTGCGTCGTTGCAACAGGAGTCCTAGCGGTGTTTTTCAGCCCGGTACCTTCATTTTCTGATCCAACAGAGGTACGCTATCATTCTTAATAGTTAAAATGTTATCAATCTGTTTCTTTTTATCTTAACATAAAATATACATTTATATCTGAACAAATATAAACATGAAACAGGTCAACCAAAGATACATACAATTAAAAAAGATTGTATGATATGAATACGATGACGGTTAAGTATTGTTGACATTAACATGCATGGTAGGACATGTTTCATGATACAAGACATCTTTAAAACGTGATGTCATCGATTCGACATCTGCCATAATTATGTCTATCCGAATTTCACAAACAACTTCTTTTAAATACAAGATATTAGTATCAGGGTGGACTTCCCATTTAACAAGTAAAAGACGAATTTCCTATATGAACAATAAATCGTTTACTTATCGCGCTTATACTCTTATACTTATGTTTCTTCTAGTTCTACTTATTAACTGTCGAGTAATTTTCATGTGGTACTCTATTTTATATTCATATTTTAAAGGGGTTCCAAGCTCGAGGGACTGTTATTAGCGGACGACTTTGGGCCTATCAACGAATGACAGAGGAAACGCAGTTGTTTTCTCCTAACCCATCAGCGGCCAGTTCGAATATCAGTCGACGCAGTCTTTCAGAGACCTCGAGATCTCGAGAGGAAAGAGATGTTGGCAACGATACAATACTACATGTTGAAACATGCGGTGCTTATCGTAAGTATGAGATAATTATGAATCACAAGAATTCTATTTACAATACTTATTCCGTTTTAGTTACCCATGGCAACCACACGCTCTTCCTGCAAGCCATGCAATTATCATTACCCCGGCATCGCTAGGTATATATTTAATACACCTGAATAGTGCAGCGGCTTAGCAAGAAAATTGTGCACTTTTTGATAAAAGCATGAAACTTCTAGCATAGTTTGCTTTCACCATAAGATTTATTTTCAGATGTGGAGGGAAGTCAGATTTGACCTCTGATGACCCTGAGAGGTCAAATCCAAAATGGCCGCCAGGCCGCATGGTCTAATGTACAAACATGCTTAAGTTTTGAACCAAATAGTCCAGAGAAACGTTTAAGGTGTCATTTCCAACTAACTTGGGGATGCCAATTCATTTGGTAATACTTTTGAGATCGCCTGAACTCAGGGTTTTGCATTTAGGTCAAGGTCAAGGTCAAAATTGACTAAAAATAGCAAGTTTTGAATGGTTACAAATGATTAAATCTCATTTATTTGTCATTTGTTCTCAAATTTCTTTAGGAATGGTTCCCCTGCATAGTCCTCCACCTTAATCCTTTTCAGGTAGTCTATTTCAGTTTGATTTGACCTCTGATGACCCTGAGAGGTCAAATCTAAAATGGCCGCCAGGCCGCATGGTCTAATGTACAAACATGCTTAAGTTTTGAACTAAATAGTCCAGAGAAACGTTTAAGGTGTCATTTCCAACTAACTTGGGGATGCCAATTCATTTGGTAATACTTTTGAGATCGCCTGAACTCAGGGTTTTGCATTTAGGTCAAGGTCAAGGTCAAAATTGACTAAAAATAGCAAGTTTTGAATGGTTACAAATGGTTAAATCTCATTTATTTGTCATTCGTTCTCAAATTTCTTTAGGAATGGTTCCCCTGCATAGTCCTCCACCTTAATCCTTTTCAGGTAGTCTATTTCAGTTTGATTTGACCTCTGATGACCCTGAGAGGTCAAATCCAAAATGGCCGCCAGGCCGCATGGTCTAATGTACAACCATGCTTAAGTTTTGAACCAAATAGTCCAGAGAAACGTTTAAGGTGTCATTTCCAACTAACTTGGGGATGCCAGTTCATCTGGTAGTACATTTGAGATCGCCAGAACTCAGGGTGTGGCATTTATGTCAAGGTCGAGGTCAAAATTGACTAAAAAAAGCAAGTTTTGAATGGTTACAGAAGGTTAAATCCCCATTATTTGTCATTTGTTCTCCCTAGCTATGTTCTCAAATTTATTAAGGAATGGTTCCCCTGCAGAGTTCTCCACCTTAATCCTTTTCAGTTGGTTTATTTAACAGTTTGATGTGACCTCTGATGACTCTAAGAGGTCAAATCCAAAATAGCCGCCAGTCCGCATGGTCTAATGTACAAACGTGGTAACTTTTGAACCAAAAAGTGTAGAAAAACGTTTGAGGTGTCATTTCCAACTAACTTGGGGATGCCAATTCATTACGTAATACATTGAGATCGCCAGAACTCAGGGATTTGCAATAAGGTCAAGTTAAAGGTCATATTAGGCCAAAAAAGTGCTGTTTTCTTTTTAAAAATAAACTTTGCCTCTATTTTGACACTTAAGGTTTCATTATTTTAAAAATTAATAAAAAGACCCGTGTACCACCACTTTGACTATCCAGGGCCAAATTTCATAGAGCTGCTTATCGGCTGGTTCTGTGCTTACGTATTAATTTCTACTTCAAAGCACTGCTAACCGTAAGCACACGAAAATGCATTAACCTTACGCTGCTTACTGGACGAAAATGAATTTTATGAAAGTAACAATGCAATCCATTGTGAACGTACAAGGTGGACGCCTTGTTTTCTTGCTAACCAAATTTGTCTGCTACAGTTATAGCACGAAAATTTGCTTACCGGTTAGCAGCTTTATGAAATTGGGCCCAGAAGACAAAAAAAGCTATTCCAAATACGACCTAAAACCTGTTCATAACCACAGCTATAGACAATTACATGAATTTAGCACTGTCCACAACTTATGCATATCCTAATGATGGTAACGATCAAAATCTAACAGTCTCCAGAACAAGATCACAGTTCAGTGCATCCTTTCTTGCAGCGACAGTGGATTATTCATGCCACAATTTTTATGCTTCCGGGAGAGTGGTCCAAAGAGGCTGCCACCCAGTTGTTTCGTTTGTCCAGCCCAAGTCAGATGGCTCTGCATCTCTGGATTCTTGGCCAATATCTGGTTTCAACAGTTGGCCTGGTAGCAAGTGCGCTTGAGGTGCTGCTTGAGTGCTGCCTGGGATGGAGGAAAGTTCTCCAGGTTTCTAGACTTCTGTGCGAAGAGCTGTTTCCTGGCATCATTTACTATCATGCTCTCACTGGTTCGGTCGTATTAGCACCACAAATCGCTCTGGCAGTAACATTGATCCTTCACTGACCTCCCTAGGCATGCACAGGAGTTCATTGAAGGAATCATTCACCTCTGGGAAAGACTTCTAAATTTTTCCTGTGAATGTAGAAACAGTGTGACACCCGGTGAACATGAAAGATTGGAAGAGTCATACATTGTGTCAGACTCATGGTGGCAACTATCATGATTTTATGAAAAGCCTTGTACCGAAAGCTTGATCTGACACCAAAAGCGATCCCCAGCATCAGGAGCTGTCTTGCTAAATGAAACCACGGCCAGTTCAACCGCATCAGTACCAACAATACGTATGGATACCCTTTTACACCCATTGGACAAGGCCTGCCAAGTGTGACTCAGCAGCAGAGCAGACTACTCCACTTCAATCTGTTGCATATTATACAGTTCCTTGCCCTGTGGTAGAGGAAGGTAAACGGCTTCGCATGACATGAAATCAAACAATTCGGTTTTGTTCTCATTGAATCGAAGGAAGTCCTTCCAGCTTTCTGGCAGCAAAATAGAAGGAGCCACCCTTTTCCTGGTGCCCTTTCCCTTTTCCTGCCCTATTGAGGCTTTCAGGCTAGCAGGTAAGTATACACCATAGCCAAGGTCGATGCGGATGCTTTTCTCGAGTTGAGCAAAGATGTATGGGGCAAACACTTTTTCTCCATACTCTTGAAATGTTCTTGATGTTCCAGGGTTGAGCATTTGAACCACAGCTTCACCATCAATAATTATTGCTTGGGCCACAGGTGCACTATTGTTTTCGAGCAGATTTGATTCCAGGCAGCGAAGTAGATCTGCTTTAACTCCAAACCGCATTTACCTCCAGTTAACAAAGCTGGCGGGACTACCTGGTTTTCATGAGAGAAGAAATTGTCCATATCTCAAATCCATATCCTCAAAAAGAGACCACAGTCACTCTTAAGTGCTGCAAGCTGTGCCTTCTGTTTTAACATAATAACCTTCGCCGGCTGCCGACTGAAAAATGGCAACTTGTTCGTATGAAGTGTTTGTGTGACAGCTAGGTGTCGTACACTGCTCTAGCCTTTCTGTCACAAACTTTGTGTACTGCTCACCTAGGGTCTCAATCCTTCTCCCCGTTTCAGCCAATTGGATGTCCATGATATGTCGCTTGTGCCAATGACTAGTATGTCTTGACTTTGTTCTAGAGATGGATTCCCCATCTCTTTCAGTACTGTCAGAAGTTCCCATCCCTCAAGAATGCTACCTGCACTCCAGGTTGCTGGTCAAGGTGATGTTTGTATAGTGTTAGCAGAAACGTTAGTTTGCTTTATGGCATGTTCCTCAAACTCTGTAGCGATTATTTAAATTACTTAAACCAAATAAAACACAACGTAACTTAAAGAACATCTTACCAGTATTATTGAGCAGTAACGGAAAGGAGCAGTTTCCCTGACTTGAATTGAGGTTTGTACCGTATACTGCCTAGCTGCCCACTGACCATGCTATATGCATATGGTCAGTTACAAGACAACTACTGGTTTGGTGCTATAATTAGTGAAATAAACTAACTGACAGGGATTACGATGGAGACTATGCAGGGGAACCACTCCTAAAGAAATGTGAGAACATAGGGGGACAAATAAATGGGAAAACTTTTTGTAAACATTCAAAACTTGCTATTTTTTTAGTCAATTTTGACCTTGACCTTGACTTCATGCAAAGCCCAGAGTTCTGGCGTACCCAAAAGTATTACCAAATGAATTGGCATCCCCAACTTAGTTGGAAATGACACCTTACACGTTTTTCTGGACTATTTAGTTCAAGAGTTAAGCGTGTTTGGACAATTATTAGACTATGCGGCGGACTGGCAGCCATTTTTGATTTGACCTCTCAGGGTCATCAGAGGTCAAATCTGATTTCGCTCTACATCTGAAAATGAATCTCATGGTCTGCAGGGGAACCACTCTTAAAGAAATTTGAGAACATAGGAGCGAACAAATGACAAATAAATGGGATTTGTTTCGTTGTAAACATTGAAAACTTGCTATTTTTAGTCAATTTTGACCTTAACCTTGACCTAAATGCCAAAACCCGAAATCTGGCGATCTCAAAAGTATTACCAAATGCATTGGCATCCTCAATTTAGTTGGAAACGACACCTTAAATGTTTTTCTGGACTATTTGGTTCAAAAGTTAAGCGTGTTTGTACATTAGACCATGCGGACTGGCGGCCATTTTGAATTTGACCTCTCAGGGTCATCAGAGGTCAAATCTGACTTCCCTCCACATCTGAAAATGAATCTTATGGTCTAAACTAACTATGCTAGAAGTTTCATGCTTTTATCAAAAAGTGCACAATTCTCGTTATATGGGGAGCTAATCCGCTGTACTAGAATAGCGAGGCACAAATGTGCGCCAAACACCTTGCCCGAGGATGTAAGCACCGAAAAAGATTTGAATCCGGGACCTGTAGTGTGAGAGTCAAGAGCCTTCACCAATATACCACAGTGCCCTCAATGATCCCTGCCTGGTTAGTGTTGTTATCATCAGTGTCGTAGCGTTAGTCCTATCCTTGGTTTGGGGGCATCAACATAATCAATCACCAGGGTGTGGTTTATTCACTACCTGGCCGAAAAATACATTTAAGTTCAAAGGGCAGGAATAGTTTGCATGCTCTCTTATTCGTACAGCACTTTGACGGAGTAGTGAAATATGGAGCAGTGATTTTTCTCTTACATGTTGTTTCTGGTTATTTACGGGGGCACCTCCGATCATGCCCCATACCGAAATACACTACCGGTCAACGCTGTAATTATCTTTAAGGTTGTACCATTTTCATCCTCACCATCGATATTATTGCGATTGGGATTTTTATGATAATAACAAGCAGCACAACGATTTCAATATGATTGTGTCTTCCATAAGTCGAGAAGGGCCAAATGGTATAAACTTAGAGAATTGTAAGCTAATACCCATTGAAATAATTCAATGTCATTGATGTAGAAAATGCAAAAAATTACTTTTATACATTCTTGATAAAATATTTATGTGGTTAATTGTTGATCACTTTACTATAAAGCTAGTAAGATTCAGTCCATGATAAAAAGTCATTCTTGTCCTGTTATTCCCCTTTCCAGTTTCCAGTCGTCTTCGGATGTTGTATCGAGCCTCTGGCTCTTTAGAAATGTTTACCGCTGACGTCATGAAAGCTGTTTGTCAACACGACACTGTCAACTTTCGTAGTCAGAACATCTTCAACCAATCGTGCGGCTTGTATAATTCGACGGGGGACTGCTGTCCAACCTGGTCAATGGGATACATGGTAGCCCTGATCGCTGGCAAGGATTCTTGCGATGATATCAACGAAGGAGATTTGGAAACCACAAGGACATTGTTACACGAATGCATTCAGTATTATACTACAGGATGTCTTGAGGGCGGCGCCACTTGCCAAAATGTGCCTGCCAATTGCACAGAGCTAGGCAGCATTCATACAATACTTCATTATCTAACACCTAGTTATTTCGCTGAAAATGTAGAAAACGACAATTATGACTTGGAAGTAGCGCTTGTCCTTTCTCCTCTTTGGTCGTACCATGACGACACATTTAACTTCTATGAAATGCACATGGGGACATCATCATTGAAAAGTAATGTTCTTGAGATCATAGCAATTGGTTCTGGTATAAAGTTTGATGTGTTTGACCAATTCGTGTTCTCCGACTCGGTTTTTATTGCCATTGGTTGTGTCAGTGTGATATTTATAATCTGGGTTTATGTCGGTTCAATTTTCGTAACTGCTATGACGATGGTAAGCATTATCCTGTCTATGGTTGTCGCTTTCTTTCTTTATCACGTCATATATAGAATTCCGTTTTTTCCCTTCATCAATGTCATAACTGCTATTCTTATCATTGGAATCGGCGCTGATGACTGTTTTGTCTATGTAGATATCTGGAAGGCCACAAAGAAAGAGATAGGTGGAGGTAGGGATAACCTTCTTCCTATCCTCATTGAAACAGTGAAACATGCCTCGATCACCATGTTTGTGACCAGTCTAACAACATCATCTGCTCTTTTTGCGGGAGTTGTCAGTACAATCACAGCACTGCGGTGCTTCTCAGTATTTGCTGGAAGTGCTATCTTGGTCAATTTTGTCCTGACGTTGACATGGATACCTGCAGCAGTTATGATTCACGAAAAGTACTTTCTATGGGAGGAAGACGAGCCGTCATCGTGTAGGTGCTGTGGTTGTTGGTATGCAGTAGGACGGTTTTATGATCGAATTGCTAACATTGGCAGGGAGTTCTTTGAAGATTACTTACCGATTATAATAACTAAATTACGTTTCTTTTGGATTATTGTCTTGAGCGCTTTCGGCATCGGAGGTTTCTGTGTTGTTTTTGTGGCTCCAAGATTACGTCTACCTTCTCAATCAGAATTCCAAGTATTCAGAACAAGTAACATTTTTGAGCAATACGATCAAATCTATAAAGGAAGGTTTAGTTTTGAAAAAGATTCAGCGAGGCTGATGCCGGCAATCATTGTTTGGGGAGTAAAACCTCTTGACAATGGGAATCTTTGGAGTGCTGATGGAGAAGGAACTACGGTGTTGGATGAAACGTTTGACGTGACGTCTCCTGAAGCACAACAGTGGTTGTATGATCTGTGCATAGATTTTAAGAATTCAAGTTTCCATGACACCAGCGCGGGTTCAGGAGACGAATTTTGTTTTATTGATGCATTTCGGAGTTTTATGGAGGATAATACATGTATAAATCCTTCGACAGGCGGGGATCTGGGTCAATGCTGTAACCAATCTTCATTTCCATATCCTAGTGATGTATTCAGCCAATGTGCAATTACTTTCAGTGAGATACAATGTCAACTCTATGGTTGTGAATCGAATGCTCCTGGATTACGTTATAATTCTGATCAGGACATGGTTGCAATGTATATTTACTTACAAACAAACATCAAAGAATCGCAGGATTTCAATGCTATGAATCAATTCTGGGAAGATGTTAATGACTGGGTAGAAGAAAGAATAAGCTCAGCTCCGACAGGCATGCAAACAGGCTGGTTTATAAGTGTCGGTGATTATCAGATGTCTTTCTTTGACCTTCAAAGAGGCCTCGCAACTGGTGCACCTCTCTCGGTCGGTATATCACTAGCGGTTGCTGCTTGCGTTCTTCTTTTAGCAATAAGGAACATCTTGGTGACGTTATATGCCATCTATTCTATTGCTTGTGCTGTTTTTGTTGTCATTGCTTCTGTCGTTCTTATGGGATGGGAACTTAATATATTTGAATCTGTTGTTCTGTCCCTTGCTGTTGGTCTTTCAGTTGATTTTACGATCCATTTAGGCGTTGCTTATCGTCAGTCTACTGCATTTGATCGTGAGTCACGATCAATGTATGCCCTTCGATCACTCGGTGCTGCCATTACGCTGGCGGCCATCAGTACCTTCATAGCAGGCGCCTGTATGTTACCTGCCACAGTTCTTAGCTATGTTCAGCTTGGGACTTTTCTTACACTTGTCATGGCAATCAGTTGGGTCTATGGAATATTCCTATTTGTATCGCTATGTAGGACGATAGGACCAGAGGGTACGTTTGCCCAAATATCGCGGTCCTGTTGTCGACGTAACCCTCGTGTCACACCTGAGGGGGAGGGACACGTTGATGAATACTCGGTTAAGCCAGTCCAGAAGGGTGTTTCGATGGGTAGCCACACGGATGTTATGTCAGTTACCTCTTTGCCTAATGAAAATTCTAACTGAAACTGCTGCGTAATGGAAGCCAGTCAAAATTAGTCAATAAACCGACGAAGTGTGTGCGTGTATGTGTGTGTGGCCTAGGCCTCTTAGAACCGATAGTTTTCTTTATCATTATTTTTCGTAAATATATCTAGAAGGCAAATCATAGAAACAAGTTATTTACAGTCTTAGAGGAATCGCAAAAAAGAACAAATCATGGAAGTTATGAATTTTTAAAAAATAGATGGCTAATGATATGTGCTCATTTGGTCACGGTTTATACACTTGACTTCTCCTCAACTAGGTGTTTATAAAATAATGATTATGCAGAGTATGTAACCTTGAAATTCAGAAAAAAGGGATTTTATTAATGCAATCGTTCTATGACACAACGAATGGAATCCCTTGCTATATGACTTCACACACGATTCCGTTTCTTAAATTTTCTGCTTGTATTTGTGTGTTTATTTGTTTGTTTGTTTATTTGCTTGTCTTAGCCCAGTGATATACACCTATTTTTTTTTAGATCAAATGTTTGCAGCCAGTAGTTTAATGTTAACCAAAAGTAAACGTAAGCACAAAAGTTATTTCTTTACTCGTCTTTATTTTACTCTTTACTTATCGCTTTACTTCCAGTCAGAATAAACCTGTTCCTCGTTAATTACTGCTGAATCTATCACTGAATGTATTTACATTGTTTATCAGTTCGCTCTTCCAAATACTTTCATGATAAACGTAGTGTTTATATCAAATACTATAGACTGAATTTGGAGGCTTTTGATTGTGCATATAATTTTCCCCCTAAAATTCCTGGGAAAATGAAGTTAACTAAACGCACGAAGACATATAATCATCAACGAATAAGAATCTTTGATATTTTCTTCCACGATGAGTTCGTTTTTCTCGATTATCTTCGGAAGAGCTTGGGTTGGTTTGTCATAATATTCCAATCATGAACTTAGGTTAGGTACACTGATATTCGGGAAAAAATACATAATTCTGTGAAAAGATCGAGAATATTTAATGTTTTTTATCATAATTTTGCAATATCTCAGTTTTCCCATTGGCAAAAAAGAAATCTTTTGCACGATATATAATATCTTCTTTTATGTCTATGGCTTTGTAATTTAAGTGATTTTTATATACACAGTATTATATATACAGTTTATTTGATAAACTAAAATACAGATGTATATTTATAATTAAGGATTTTATATTTATGATAATCAAATTACATTGAAATTGTATTACAGTTTCATCAAATAAAGTTTTTATGGTTGTGACATTGATACTACGTCATTATTTTTCCTTATCTAAAACATAAATTATTAAAATGTATTTTTGGATTTTTTTTAATGAAATTACATTGAAATTTGTATTACAGTTTCATCAAATAAAGTTTTTATGGTTGTGACATTGATACTACGTCATTATTTTTCCTTATCTAAAACATAAGTGATTAAAATGTATTTTTGGATTTTTTTTTAATATAAAATATTGATTTTCAAATACATGGCTATAGCCTACGAGACGGCAGTTTCGTGGGCTGTCGGTCCACTGGGAGGTCCAGAAGTACGAAGATGTTTTTTTGTTTGCACGGAATAAGAAAGAAAGAGAGAAAGATAGAGAGGGGAGAGAGAGGGAGAGAGAGAGAGAGAGAGCAAAGGGAGATGGTGACGGGGGGGGGGGGTACGACGGGATAGAGTAACATCCAACCTGTCCCCTTCGGCCCTATAGGATAAACGGCTTGTCTAAACGCAACTGGATTAGAAAAGTATAATAATAGGCTATATACACGTAGGATTCACGTAGTGGAGGATTTACTATAACTAGAGCAAATGGGAAATGCTAAATATTCTTTCTGACTGGCAAATTTCCTGCCCCCCTCTCTCTCTCTCTCGCTCTCGATCTAACACTTTCTTTCCCTCTCTGTTTCCACTCGGTTCATGTATTTCGTGCCCAATCGTTTTCCCTCATCCACTCTCAGGCTTTGACTGATGTCAGCTACCCCCTCCATTTTATTTTTTTACCACGCCACCATAACTGCCTCTCTCGGAGCTCCCCCGATATACGTCAGCTAGGACCCCAAATTGGCTTTTAATCGACAATGGGTCGTCATAATTATGGCCACTGGCAACCATTAAAAGAAGTGGTTTTAGTTAGCTAGCTCAAGTCACAATTATATTTTAGTAATGTTTTCTCTAAAAATCAGATGGCAAATAGAATAGCGTACATTTGTTACGTTTTAGCTCTCTAAATGAGGAGCAAAATGCATTGCTCAGCACATAGATGGCAGCACTACATTCGTTCCTACCTGAAATATTGAAACAAATCCGTGAACAGTGATTTTTTAAATTAAATATTAGTATCAAAATATGTGCAATTCATATATTTTGAAATAAATTGTACTCACAGGACAGTGACCAGGAATTTTTTACATCAGTAAATGTTCGTTTAGTTTGAAATCTTGAACAGAATTGTATGATAATGGAATGAAGGAGTTGGGGGATTGAAATAGTTTGAGATGAAAAATATTGAGGTTAACCACTATAATTCCATATAGGCAACTGGAACAATACAAAGTGGCAATGTCTTTCAATTTTTCTGAACGTATAGGGATCTACTTCGTGGCAGTATTAAACCATATAATTATGTATATCGTATTGAAAATAATGTAAAACTCTTCAACATAGCATCCACAGTTTTTCATTACTATTCCTGATGGTCACTGATAATTTCGTCTAGCCTTCTTTTGATTTTCCTCCTAGAGCTCATAACTGTGTCCAACAAAATATCTGTGGCCTTTTTTAACACGATTTTAAAGGAAAAAGATAATCGTTAATAGTCTATATCATGATTAAAAAGTATCCCCATCCCCTTCTTTCTTCTTCTGTAATTTATGTAGGTTGTAGAATATGTTCAAAAGATTACACGCGCAGACTCTCTTTGATTTGTGGGAGGCTCGTCGTAGTGAATTATCTGCGCCTGGTGTACACATGCAGTGGCTTTTGTTTTCTTCACTTATTTGATTAATAGATTACGTCTGTCTCTTGGTATTCGGGAAAGGGGATTCGTCCTTTACTGGTACACAGAAACAATCTACTGCAAGATAAACAATCCATATTAAATAATAGTCTTGTTCTCTCGACATACGGTGGTCAGAGCTCAAGATTAGCTTTAACGTTCTTTAACCACCCCATGACTTATACAGCCTGGGATTTTGCTCCTCCATCTCTCTGCGTATTTCTCTTTTTTTCTGACAGTCTTTTGATACTATTATCTTTCTCTAAGCTCATTTAGGCAGTATTGGGATATTAAATCTTATCTTCATTAGGGCCCAAGGAAGAGTTACAATTTAACGATATTTAGATTATTTGGTCTACAGCGTAATGTCACAGACACTCTCAAACATATATCTATACACCTCCCCCCCCCACACACACACACGCGCTCACACACACGCACCCACACACACACACACACACCAATACATACGCATATTTCATCATACAGTATTTACGAATCTTCCAAAACACTGTAATACCACTGCTGTAATCTTTTTGTAAGCTAAAAATATGACAAACAGAACACATTTCTGGTACAAACAATGCGAATTATTGTGTGATAATTGCAAACATTTTGTGGCAAAATAAATGAACATTCGACGCTGATTCACAAAAAATAACAATTTCAATATCTGAAATGACTTTCATTGCAAAAATAGATCAATATTTCATTTTTTCAAAACTTAACATAATTATATACTCTTTATTGAAAATATATCAAAGGACATGAATAAATCCCTGGTAAATTCAGCTAGGCATTAAGACAAAATGAACCTACATTAAACACAACGACACATTATATCTAAAAAAATATTTAGAAGATAGGAATAAACTAATTCATGTATATACAAAATATTGTCTGCCTTATACAAGACTGAGGCCTATCAAACATCGTATTAAGTGTTAAGAAATATATTATTCATTAACTCATATTGAACACTTCTTTCAAACGTCTTTAGTTTCTAGATAATTGCTTTTGAGATCTTTCATGGCAGGACCTTAAAGGTATTACAAAGTTTTGGGAAATTTTGAAAAATGGGTGGATAGTGATTCTTTACAATTTTGATATATTTGGATGCCCCTGTGGATGTATTAAAAACACCATAAATTTTAGCCCCTAAAACACTTCTGTTTTCGAGAAAAATTGAATACCAAGATTTACCGGTGCTCCCGGTAAATTTTGATAAATTTCAAATAGCTCCTACGGCCGTACAATGGTAGCTGCGACCATGAAAATATGTAGTTGTGGTATATCATTTCCGAACGACAATAGCTAATCGGTCGATTTTAGTCAATAAGCATTGTTTTATGTGTGTGTGTGTGTGTGTGTGTGTGTGTATTTGGGTTTTTACAGACGTGTATCAATCAGATATGATTATTTACGTCTGGGGACCGACTTTTAACGTCACCATCCGAAAGACGTGACTCAGTTTCGAACCTGCGTTCTCGGCTGAATCAGTTTGTAACTTCCACTGTTAGCTGGATTACAGGCGCACGCCACAACGCCTAGTTATAGTTTAATTATTATCTTGACCTTGAGAGGGAGTTATTCAACATAAAATGTTTATTATTTACAATTTCATAACTTAAGAGTCGATTTCGACCGCGACAACGATCACTGAATATTGTAGGATCGTATCTGCTTCCAATATTTTAATTTGAACCAAATTCATGACTAGTACCAAAACGTTGTACTATCGTCTTTATTTTTTGTCTCATACATGTACCAACCACACATAGATCTACCGCAGTTAGAATTTTACAGATAATATTGCTTATTTTTCTCTTGTGTATATTCTTGTCGGAGCTATAGCAAATCACAGTCGTTCATGACTAGCTCCTACTAAATGAGCCAATTCCCTAGTTCATCTTCTTATGTTTCACACGACAAATGAACAACATCTCGGGCGATTATCACAATCAACATCAAAGTAAGTCGAAACAGGACCGATGTGCAAGTTATGTTAATTACGAGTCTTTGTCGTGATTGATGATGTCATTAGGCCTACTGTCCGTTTCAAGAGGTTTAGAATGAGAACAATGAATCCACAAATGAATGTTCAAACTGTTTTAAGGAATGCTCATGAGTTTGGATAGCTTTCAATTCAATTCAATTCAATACAGGTCATTTAGAACATGTTCCACAGTACAAAAAATAAATTATATACATGTTTGTTTTTCAAAGATGTGAATTGCAATTGTTGATAAAACCTTTATTGAATTAAATACCAATTTACATGAAATACTTTACATTGATAACATTTTCGGCAATGAATGTCAGATGTTGAAAGATGTTGTAAAAAGTTTTATCAATGCATATATAATTTAAAGATGATTACATTTCCGCTATCATTGAACAATATAATATCCGATTAAAACAGTAAGAGGTCAAGGAGAAAAATCTCTTCTATTCATGGACTGTTTACATCCAAGTTACTCAAATTATCCGCAGATATCATTGCAAAACCACTCATTATATTATTTAATCAATCATTAAAAACTTCACGATTTCCATTTGATTTCAAGATTGCAAAAATCACTCTGATACACAAGCGAGGAACGTTTGGTGTGAATAATTTCAGGCCCATGTCAACAATTCTAGAGAAAGCCTTACACAAACAATTGTATTTTTACCTTAAAGGGATAGTTGAGTTCTGTTGCAGGGGGCGCTATACAAAATAATTTTTTGTGTAATAATGAAAAAATGAGTGTCAAATTTGAAAGAACATAATATTTAAATGACAAAATCATCTTTGTTTGATCAAAGTCGGTTCATAGACGGCTGAAATATAACGATTTCTGATACTTGTGTACCACCACAAATATTAGATATTGTGAACATTTTGGGGTCTAAAATTACCTTCATAGCAATTTTAGGTTCTAAAAGGGCACTATAAATGTAATAGATAAGATTAAAAGGATCAACCATGCACTTTGAAGGCATTTGCTAATACTTGTGTACCACCACAAATATTAGATATTGTGAACATTTTGGGGTCTAAAATTACCTTCATAGCAATTTTAGGTTCTAAAAGGGCACTATAAATGTCATAGATAAGATTAAAAGGATTAACCATGCACTTTGAAGGCATTTGCAGTCTGAAAACAGAACTCAACTATATCCCTTTAACCAAAATAATTTATCATCAGAACATCAGTCTGGATTTAGACCGAGTCATTCTACAACCACGTGTCTCACAGAAATTACTGATTACCTTCTTGATAATATGAATTCGGGTCACATTACTGGAACAATATTTTACGATCTTAGGGAAGCATTTGACGTTTTTCCACATAAAATAATACTTGTTCAACTAATTTTCTATGGCATGAGTAACAGTGTGACTGTATGAAT